TTAGTCAGTGTGCATTAAAGAGCATCACTAATTACAGCATGTTGGATTGAGAAAGTATGGCTAATCATGATTATAAGACCTTACCTATACCTTCACGAACAGGTTACGAAACAACCGCATAGTGTATACCTTCAGGTTGGTGGGGTTTCTGTCATTTTCAAGTTTCTGTTTCAAGTCTGTTTTACTGCACAGTTGAGGAAGATTTACCAAAAGAAAAGAAGCCTTGTGGTTGTGTATCCATCCCTTTAAGGCAACTATAATGTGAAATACACAGGAACTACCACCTGTTGTGGCATGCGTCAGCTAACTTTAAAGTCCAGTGCGACATAAAGTTGCATAGATCCAAATAACAATCCAGCCTCTGTAATAATAAAAAAAGACTTTTGCATTGATGCATGGAAGTGCTAGAAAAAATACAGCAAGGCAGATCCTCTTTATGGATTTATCAGCAGGAGAACAGCAGTCGGTGCTGTGTGATTGTCAGGGAAAAGTAGCTCTATGGACCAGAAGATTAAGGGAACAACCCTGTCAAATCAAGTAAACCCAAGTCTCTAAACATAAAGGAATTTTTTTTGGTAGCCAGCAGTTGGAAAGTCATAGCTAGTGTACACACTTTGGTTTTTAGAGTCAAGTTAAGCCACCATACAGTCAGCTGTGCCAAAATGGTTTGAACACTGAGGATGTACTGTACATGTTACAGTTGGTCATTTCACCAATCGCTGAAGCGCAGGCGGTTGAAGGCCTCTTTGATGTCCTCATTGGTCTCTGAACCTCCATTGGTGCCAATGCGGAGTACATTGCTGTAAGAGACGTCCTGCTTCAGTTTGCGCTTGCTGAGGACCACGGTGCCTTCGGCTCCCTCCGTCGCAGGACCTGTCAGCAGGATGTAGGCAGCATGGCGTCCACGCTCCAATAGCGTGGCTAAGATAAAAACACAATTACAGTCACCCTTCTGTTTTCCCATCCCTCCACCCACTGAGTCACATGTTGTAGTTAAATGATAATATCATTTTGTTAAATTATAGGAAAATTTACAGCAAAAAGCACCTTTAAATGTTATGATGTGGTTGATGAAACTGGTCGACTCGAGGAGAACTTTAGAATACAGAGGATGGAGCATGTAGGACCGTCGGTCACTAGTTAATGGTCTCTGGAAGGAAACATTTTAGTCCGATTAGCATTTTATGAGAAATCTGTTAATATGCAATTTTCAATAAAGTCAGAGTATTTACAGATGAGTTGGTCTCCGAGGGCATCATGCCCCAAAACACGAAGATCGAGAAGGAGTTGGTGGTTTGGATTGCGGCGGGTCTCGGTGAGTTAGGACTGGCCAAAAGCTTGACTTCCCACAGCACACCACCGGACTTCCCATCAAGAATTATTACCTACATACAAGAAGGACGATGGTACAGTTAATGTAGGATTCAAGTCGGTCACCATATGAGAGAAGCTGGAGACAGAAAATGAAATGTAGGTGTCACAGCAGTGTTGGTATGGTTTAGACCCAACTTACCCTCTTTGTGTTGTTGCCAATATCCTCCTCAACCACAACATCAAGTAACCAGTCTTTGTTAAAGTGACCAAAGGAGGGCTCACTGAATGAATGAGAACAAATTACTTCATAACCAAATATTAATGTGTATCCCTGAACTAATAGATTTTTGGGGGATTTTTGCTTTAAAAAAATGTAACTTAAACGATGAACTAATTTATTTTCTGTTGATCGATTAATCAACTTATCGTTTCAGCTCTAAATCATTTGTGCAATATATAAAAAAAATTTAAAATCTAACAGGAAGTTCACCTGAGGACTGAGCTAGTGTTGAATCTCCACAGTAACTGCAAATTTTTGCCATCAACTAATAGCACCTCCTTCCCAGTCACAATCAGCAGGTTGGGTGTGTTGTCTGTATCTCCTGTTCTGAGAACTTGTTTCACTGAGTCAGACCTACAAAGTAGAAACAAATTAACAAGTCTCAATGGCGACGCACTGTGTTGTTAAAGTGATAATCAATGGATTAACGAAGCACCCGCTTCTTACTCATAGACGGGTACAAGGCCAGATGTTGCACTGGCAATCTTCTCCCAGTGTTTATCCTTCTTGAGTCCCACCTCCATCCCTGCTTTAGCCTTGGCAGCAATGCTCCACAGTGACAGTCCATACAAACCAGTGTCTGTGAATGAGCACAAGATTACTCACTACTGCCATCAAGTGTATGCTCAACCAAGTGCATACATCTATGTACAATAGATGTGTCGGAACTTGATGAAAATTAGTCAAATTTGACAATAGAAAATAAAAAGGTGACTGAATGTATTATGTAAAACTACTATACTGAATACAAAGCTACATCACATGATGTGATATTCCCCCATGACCACCTCACAAGTCTCTGATCAAGTGCCACCATTTTCTACCACTTCCTGACAAAAATAGCACACGTCTTGAGGACAGTTTCCAGATATGTGATGACAGCTTATTAACTTATTCTAACTTTGGTTTTATTTTCTCTTCTAGTTCTATAGAGAGATGCCTCTAATTTCTGACACTTTTGAACTACTTCGACACAGTGCAGGGCTCCTCTATTAGGAAATATTTAGCTGGTCTAATTTTAGATGCAAACCTTTTTGTAGTAGTATGTAGTGAGACCCTTCTGTAGTGCGATGGAGAAGATGATTGGCCGTCTCTGTGAAGTCAAGAACCACTGAAGAACCAACCTGGACACCCGTCTTCCCTGAGAGGAATACCAGCTGAGTCTGACAAGAGACATTAAAATTGAGGGGATTCTATTTTGCGGCAACAACAACAGATGATTTCACTGCCAGTGCTTCTCATTTTGTATATCTGATTCCTGTCACAGCAAATCATTATAGAAGAACATTCAGAAAAACAATGTGACTCGAGCCTTAAACCATAAGATACAAAGAAAGGAAACAAATGTAGCAATTATAAATAACATCACTGATGTTTAACCTGTGCGTTGCCAGATGACACTAGAGCCACATCGCCGACCTTGTCCCCATCCAGATCTGGGACACTTAGAACAGGCACAGTGATGTGCCGATCCGGAGGCTGAGGCTGCTGCCAACTGACATCACCTGTACACACACACACACACATCACACAGGAACAGAGCTCTCAATCTGACCGAGTTTATCTAGTTTAGTTTCTGGGGGAAAAAAAAAAACCTACAGCTTTCCTAAAGCGTAAAAGTTCATTCTTGGCCTTGGGAATGGTAGTTTGACAAAATAACTTACCACTTACTAACTTTTCTCCAAGAGTTTAACTACATCTCAGGGGTCATCAAGGGATGGATTTATAACATTCTTGTTACTAAAGAGCATTTCTTTAATTTTCATGATTGTTTAGATCCTTGCCTCATTTTTAGTTGTTAGGACGAATCCAACCTCAGGAAACTACGATAAATTGGTTAGGCTAACATAAGAAATTCTACACATAGGGGCTTAAAGATTGTTTTTAATGTGTCAAGATAAAAACGACTTACTTTCAGTGTAGAAATGGAATGAGTCAGTTACCAGTATATTTGTCAACAGCTGTGAGTTGGTCAGAATGGGACACCAGACAGTCCCAGGTTCTGCTTGTGTCTTTGTCCAGACCACACTGGGCCCAGTGGAACTCGGGATCCAGCGCACGCTCCCACAGGCTCTCTCCATCTGTCCCATCCACTGCTAACACAAACACACACGGCGAGGGCAGCCCTGGAAAACACACAGAATGTGTCTGAATTACCTTAAAAACTGCATAATCCAGCTCTTGTTTCCTCACATACTTTCTACCTGCATCAGCACACGTATTGTTCTGACTGCCTTCTGTGTTTTTGAGGACAAACAGGACATCCATCACCTTGTCCTTGCTTGCATCTTCGATAGCTAAGAAATCATAGGTTGCTGTGGAAGAAGGGAGAGAATAGTAGTTAGTCCCACATTTAAAAACACTACCAAGCTGTGAAAAGCACACAATTTTACACACCTGCTTCAGGGAAAGTCCTGTTCCAGGTAATGAGATACTGTGGTCTGACAGGACAGGGGATGATGAAGGAGAAGGCAAACACTATGGTGAGGCAGATGAACAAGGAGAGGAAGAAGACAGCAGTTCGCCAGTGGGTCAGTTTGGAAAAACCCAAGACTTCCTTACAGCTCTTCTTCTTCAGCTCTGTTGCTGATGGTGCCATTCCTGCCTCTGCCCCATCCTCTCCCCTCTTCAGAGGCTCGCCCTCAGTGGCACTGCCTGTGGTCTCCATTGTCTCCTCAATGCATTCCCAGCCCACAGATCTGCTTGTCAGGGAAAAGGGCTTACAGTAAAACCTTACCTCAATTTAATGCTGGATTTTTAGTAAACACTTGTGTTACTACACAGTGAATACACCCATCATGGCCATGCGTCAAAGTAATCAGCAATAATAACAGACACAACTCGCTGGCATTCATAGGTATATAGTACATGAAACAATACTGAAGGCAGCACTGTCTGTCAGTCCAGCTATTTCTGCTGCATCAACCTTTGTGGATCTGAGCCTATTCAGACGTGCCAGCACTGACTCCAGAGATTTCTCAGCACAAAAACAACAAAACCATAGTGAACAATCACCATCAACCAGGCTAGCACATCCTGAATTTTGTTCCCTGACCACAGGGAAATCTATTAACTTACTCTTTTTAAAAAGTACGTTGGTAGGTTAGCAAACACGGCTGCTCTCAAAAATATATAAAACATGGAGAATTTACCGTACGATGTTAGCTAGGTAACGTCAGCCCAAGAAGTTTTTCAATGTCGGATAGCTGTCATTAGCGAGCTTTGGTTTGGAAAGTTCACGGTTACCAGCTGGTTAGTTTGCTAACTTGTTGAACAAAGGCCAGGAAAGCAAGAATACGGGACACGTACGTTATCACATCCCGCCAGTCAATGATAAATGTATACTGACGCAATAAAAAGTTTCTTACTTTACACTCCACTGTGGTTTTCGGTGGTCACTAGTGGGGCTAACTTCGGAAGTAGGCCTGACACACACCAACAGAGCCGCTGTCAACCGCAGCTGCGTAAACAAATCACAGGCTAGCTCAGTATCCGTCACTATCGTACAGTGTCGTGGGGTTTCTTTGCCCTGCGTATGTCTCTCGGGCAGCGCTTTCTCTCTGCTATTTAAAGAGATATCCTGAACCATATTAAAACCCCCAACACATTTGAGGTACTTGTGCCTTACTTGAGCATTTTCTTTTGAATGCCAGTTTCTATTTCTACTCCACTACATTTATCTGACAGCTTTTAGTTAGTTTACAAATTAAGATTTTTTTTAAATATAGGATTTATAAAATGTAATGTTTTGTTATAAAAAAAACCAATTAGTTTGTTAATCAATTAGTCGATATACAGAAAATGAACTGGTAACTATTCTGATAAGTGTTGAAGTCATTTTTCATGTAAAAACATTGCATGGTTCCAGCCTCACATATTTGAAGATGTGCTGTATTAATATAGTAGTAGTATTAGTATTAATAATATTGATGTGTTGTTAAAAATGTTGGTTGAACATAACAAGCATGGTGAAGGTCACTGGGTAATTTTGAAGGCATTTTAGACTATTTTCAGATTTTTTAATAAACCAAACAATTAAAATAATGTTGATTAATCCATAATGAAAATAATCATAAGTTACAGTCTGATACAGACTAGTTAAAAATGTAAGTAAAATCATGCTTTAACATTAATGCATGACTAATAATAATCCAATGATATATATAATAGTCACATGGGACACTTTTCTGCTGTGAGTACTTTTACTTTTAATACTTAAAAGTACATTTTCCTGATTAAACTTACATACTTTTACCTAAGTAACATTTCCAAAGCAGAAATTTTACCTGTAAAAGGGTATTTTTACAGTGTGGTATTACTACTTGTACTTGAGTAAAGAATCTGAATACTTCGTCCACCACTGCCTAAATACAGCTTAGTAACGGGAGCAACCAGGTGATACCAGCCTGTGAGTAGCTGCTTCCTGAGGAGCGAAAATCAGGGCAAATAAATCCCAAATTACCCACTGTTGGGTTTGAGCACCTCTGATTGGTCAATGCAATTGTTCTCAAACGTTACGATTGGTCGATTTCATACCGATTGCCCTCCCTTTAGCGTTAGCTCAACGGAACCTTGAAACAAGAGGGCCTGTCGTCATTTCCCTAATGTTAAACGGAAACTGGCGAGTCCATGAAATAGAGAAAAGCTGCGAGAGGTGATGCTTGGACGAATAAATAATCAAATAACCTGACAAAAATACGAAGGGACTGTTTTCAGTTGCTTGATTGTTATATAGCGCCATCGACGGAAGACCAACAGCAATGTCTGCCCAAGCTCAAATGAGAGCTTTGCTCGACCAGCTAATGGGAACAGCGAGGGATGGTGAGTTGCCGTATAGTGCTAGCTGAGCTAGCTAGCTAGCCAAGATGGAGCCACTGCTCAGGCTCGCTTGTGTTGGTGTGTGATGAACAGACCTGCATGAATGGATTTACTGCAGAGGGCTGTGAAAAATACAGTAACGTTAGATTCAAGTAGCCTTTGCTGATTAAGGTTGCGATTTAATGTGTGTATCCATTTGGGCTCATTTTAATTCAAAGAGTTGTTACGTTTTTGCTTTAGCCTTTACCACTGTAACTTAGCGTTAGCTAACTCAATTCGTAGCTAGTTGGTAGCTAACTTAGCTGACGCTACTGTTGAGAAGTTACGGAACCGTCAGGGGCCATGGTACCGAGCTTTAAACGATATGTAACAATGTATAAATACCTGGCATTAATCCAGTTATAACTAACGTTAGTTCAGAGGATAATGTTAACGCTACTGCGTTACATTCATAGTACTCATTATTGATAGACTTGCAAACGACCCGCAGGCTAGACGTCACATTAGGCCTAACGTTACCAGTTGTTTTTGAACTAACACTAGGTTTAATGAACCGGGTTATTCAACTGATAACTTGTGTTACGATTTCCAACATTATAATGTGAGTTAGTGTCTGTGAAAAGTTGATAAAAATATCAATAATTTGCACTCAAACTCAATAGTGTAACATTAGAATAAAAGTCCTGTATTTACAGTCTTACTCAAGTAAACCCCACAAGTAGGATCAGCAAAATGTATTTAAGCATCATCCAGTAGAATGGACCTTCACAGTGTCGCGTTGTATTTTTGAATTATTGCTTATTATTACCACTGTGTGTAGTAATCAGTATTTTAATGTTGTAGTTGGTTTAAGGTGGGGCTAATCTGAACGACTTTGTATATCGTTGGACAGCAAATGTCATAAAAGTGTACAATCTTATAATTTAAGTTGATTATAATTTGTATTTTAAATCTTTATCATATTAGTGTCCTGTAATTGCAGCTGATAAAGTATATTTGCCCCTGAAATTTAGTAGAAATTTAAAATGGAAATACCCAAGTCAGGTAAAGGTACCTTTTTTAAAGTTGTATTTTATTTCTCTAAACACTAAATGAAGAACATTATTTTCTCTCAATTGGTTGTTCCTGAGTTTACAATAACTAGAACAAACTGTGTACCGACACCAGTGCCTGGTGTTAAAATAAATAAATAATAGCCTACTTAATGAACCTCACCAATGCAAATTAATAAAAAAAATGAATGCTATTATCCTGATAATATAACTGTTGTTGTCTTTATTAGTGCTTTGATCATTGAGTGATTTTTGTGATTGCTTCCAGCCATTTGGATACAGACATTAAAAGGTAAATCAGCTGTCAAGTCTGATTGTCATGGGTAGAAAATGACAGCTTATCGCTGCCCTGCCATTTTATAAGTCAGAGGTTCATCCTGACAATTGAATTGAATACAGTCTTGTTAATTTTCTTTTAACAAGTTGATAATTCGATCTATACAGTTAGAGTGAAGTTGTGTTGTGAGTTTGTGGGTGTATGTGTGGTGAGATTGATATCAAATTCTTCCCATACATTTGTTGCATACAAACTGAACAATTGTGGCCCCTTTATTTTATTCATTAAGGTTCAGTGTATCTTTGCCAGCCTACATCAATCTGCAAAGGAGTTGCAGAAAAGCCTCATGTTCATCGAGCCGTGAGTCACACATAATTTTTAAAGCTGTTATGATGAATATCCAAACAATTTGTTTGCCTTCCGGAAGTTATTGTAGCCTTTTTTTTAAATCTCACAAATGGGTATATCTTCAGTGGCACTAGCATTACAATTTGGAGTAGTGTTATGCAGCTTGAGCTAAGACGACAGATCGCGCTGAATCCAAACGAGCAGTTTTTCCATTAGACGTCTGTTTTCAGAAGGCAATTTTTAGCAGTCATCGAAACAAAAACTTTGCACACATCATTTACAATCTGACTTGTGTATGACTCCCAACTTCTTACTACAGGTATGGGCAAGAAAACTGTTCCCATTTATACTTTTCTACAGCGGGTTTAAAATTCTGCAGCTGAGGTCTTGAAGATGCAGAAGGGTACAGTATGTGGTGCAGATCGCAGTGTGTATAAACAACAATTTTTTTCTTGGATTTCTTTTGGTTTTTCTTTTTTTTCATTCCTTTTCAATGTTTCATATTTGTAAAAGGCTTGGCTGGAACATTTGCCTGAAATGTTTACATTTCTTATCACAGTCATAATAGCAGTCTTTGCTGCATAGTCAAATGTAATGAACACTTAAGCGTACACTACATCAAGGTAGCTCTGTTCACACCAGTTAATTGAAACAACAAGTTTATAGTTATTTACCAGTTTTGTGCTCCTATTAGCTTAATCTCATAATACCCCACATTTACCCGAGTGGACATTGAGCCTTGACACGTTAAACTTAAGTTGACGCTCTAACATCGCCATATTTTTTGATTGAGGCTTGGGTAAGGTAAGCACTAAGAATAAGTGGAAGTACCATATACATGCACACACATAACTTTTGCTTCTTCAGTGTTGATAGATGAATGAATAATTAACGTAGTACAACAGAGGCACACTTACTCTTTTACTGGTAAATATAATGCTACACTGAGGAAGTATATGTAAAACATTGACAATCACAAATATAAGTGTTGGTTCTCACTGATCTAGGTGGGCAAAAAGTCCTTGAGTTCATATTAGTGACACCCAGTGAATGTAGTGCTATTACAGTAATGTATTTTAAAGCACTGGATACCTCGCCCCTGCGAACAAATATCTGAGGTCTTTCTCACTGGTTGTTTTTTTGGACTGTTGCAGGGGATGAGACGCGGCAGAGGGTGAAGTTCACCGACGAGCGAGTCTGCAAAAGTCATCTTCTAAACTGCTGTCCACATGACATCCTGTCTGGAACTGTAAGTAGTCTACAATTTAGGTCTGACCAGCAGTATCTGTTTCACAGAAGAGTCAGTTTGAGTCACTTCTGTTTGTGTTTTGGTGATAGCGAATGGACCTGGGGGAGTGCACGAAGATCCATGACTTGGCACTTCGGGCAGATTATGAAATTGCCTCCAAGGAGAGAGATCTGTTCTTTGAGCTTGACGTAAGCGATGTCCTTCTAATAAATAATGCAGTGTGAAGACCATAGATTTTTCAGTCACCATAATAAAACACAGATTTACTGCACACACGTGGGGGAGGATGTGTTTGCTATATACTTGCCTTTGCTTTTAATTGAAGTCAAGTGCTTATCCAATTCTTATATTAGCTAACATGTCTATTTTTAACTGTTTCTTTTGTGGAGGAGTGGCTCATTCACACCCCTTAATGACAGTTAAGCTAAGTGCTACAATGGGGCTTTTCACCAATACCACTGACTGGCACCCACAAAACAACCTTAGTTGTAGACCAGCTGTTGCACTGTGCAACATTTGAACAGTGTTCGCTCAATATAATTCAGCAGATTTAGACAATGCAGAGGAACATTTATATAATTTAAAATATCTACCAAGTCACCTATTTAAGTCTGTGTGTCTATTAACACATTTTCTCTCTCCTAAAGGCGGTCGATCACCTGGAGTCATTCATTGCTGACTGTGACCGGAGGACAGAACTAGCCAAGAAGCGCCTGGCTGAGACCCAAGAAGAGATCAGTGCTGAGGTTGCAGCAAAGGTGCGTGACAATGTTTTTTTTGTTTGTTTGTTTGTTTGTTTTTTAAACATAAACATTGTGGTACATACAGTCCCCTCCAAAAGTATTGGAATGGTAAGGCAAATTCCTTTGTTTTTGTTATTTGTATTTGGGTTTAAGATCAAAAGATGAGTATGAAACAAGAATTCAGAATTTCAGCTTTCATTTCCTGGTATTCACATCTAGATGTGTTAAACAACTCAGGACATACCACCCTTTGTTTGAACCCACCCATTTTTCAAGTGAGCAGAAGTATTGGAACAAATAATCTTAAAGTAAATAACATTTAATATTTTGGTGGCATAACTCTTGCTTGCAATAACTGCCTCAAGCCTGCGACCCATCGACATCACCAAAGTGTTGCATTCTTCATTTGTGATGCTATTCCAGGCTTTTACCGCAGCTTCTTTCAGTTCTTGTTTGTTTCGGGGTGTTTCTCCCTTCAGTCTCCTCTTAAGGAGGTGAATGCATGCTCTATTGGGTTAAGGTCAGGTGATTGACTTGGCCAGTCTCAAACCTTCCACTTTTTCCCCTGATGAAGTCCTTTGTTTTGTTGGCAGTGTGCTTTAGCTCATTGTCCTGCTGCATGATAAACTTCCTCCCGATTAGTTTAAATGCATTTCTCCGTAAATTGGCAGACAAAATGTTTCTGTACGCTTCTGAATTCAAATATCTCTGTCATCAGCTAATGTTGTTTTCCTTGGCTGACCTGTTGGACGTCTGTTGCTCAGTACACCAGTAGTTTCTTTCTTTTTCAGGACATTCCAAATTGTTGTGCTTGCTATGCCCAATGTTTGTCCAATGGCTCTGGTCGATTTTCCTTCTTTTCTCAGCTTGACAATGGCTTGCTTTTCTCCCATAGACAGCTCTCTGGTCTTCATGTTGGTTTAAACTCTAACAGGAAATGCAGTCTTTATAGGTTTGAACAAAGCATGAAAACTTAGCCTAGTCATGCAGAGCTATTTAATGTTTGGACAATCAACCTAAAAGGCAACACTTGGGCAACAAGAAACATCTGTCCGTCACATGTTCCAATACTTCTGCTCACTTTAAAAATGGGTGTGTTCAAACAAAGGGTGGTATGTCCTAAGATGTTAAACACATCTAGATGTAAATACCACAAAAAGAGAGCTGAAATTCTGAACTCTTGTCTCATACTTATCTTTTGATCTTAAACCCAAATGTCTTCAGTGAACAACAAAAACAAAGAAATTTGCCTTACCGTTCCAATACTTTTGGAGGGGACTGTATGTGTAACATTGACACTTTCACTTTTTCATGCAGCGTCTAGTTTAACAATGTTTGCAACAGACCTGTCAGATGTGAATTATGTTGTTTGTGCTGTGTTGCAGGCAGAGAAGGTTCATGAACTGAATGAGGAAATAGGGAAGCTCCTGGCCAAGGCTGAGCAGCTTGGAGCCGAGGGCAACGTTGATGAGGCCCAGAAGGTCCTGCAGGAAGTGGAGAAGGTCCGCACTAGGAAGAAGGATGCAGAGGTGAGGAAGAAATAATTGGATGATGTGGTGCTTTTCTTTTTTTATATTAATAATTCCATCTTCTGATGCCTTAATGCTGCCCCTCATTATTTTCTTCTTTCTCAGGAAGAGTACAGAAACTCCATGCCGGCCTCCAGCTTCCAGCAGCAGAAGCTTCGGGTGTGCGAAGTCTGCTCTGCTTACCTGGGTCTCCATGACAATGACCGTCGTTTGGCCGACCATTTTGGTGGGAAGCTTCATCTGGGCTTCATTCAGATCAGAGAGAAACTGGACCAACTAAAGGTATGTGCCAGCTTGTAGCACCATGTACATAAGACATCCATTACTACAAAAACCCTAAATTAATGACAAGTATATGTAGGAGTGACATGGTGCTGATATTGAAAACAAAGAAAAGAAAAAAATGCGTGATGAATTGTCTTGTGGTTTGGGTAAAGATAGTTTCACCTCTAATTTGTGCACTGTATTTTTGATCAGAAAACTGTGGTCGACAAGCAGGAGAAAAGGAACCAGGAGCGCTTGAAGAGACGAGAAGAGAGAGAGAAAGAGGAAAGGATGAAGAAGAAGTGAGTGCAGACATGTATGATGCTGGTGACATGTTTAAAGTGTGTATGTTTTATGGTTCAAACGTATTGTTTTGACATCCACTTATTTCATAGGACCAGATCACGGAGCAGAGAGCATAGAAGGTGAGAACGCTGCTCACTCTTTCCGCATTTTTAAATCAATTGGTTGTTCTGAGTAAAAGGACTATCTTAGGCAAATTATAACTCACTTGTGTCTTCTATTTTTATCAGGTCCCGTTCTCGTGACCGGAGAAGGAGACGCTCGCGCTCCTCATCACGAGACAAGCGCCGTTCTCGCTCACGCTCCAGGGAGAGGAAGAGGAGGCATCGCAGCCGATCCCGCTCTCGCAGCCGAGGACACCGTCACAGCCACGAGCAGAGCTCCAAACACAAGTAAATAATGAAGTGTATAATCTCTTTGGTTTCCAGCAGGTTAATAAGAAGTATGTTGCCCACTCGTGGTCATAAATGTTAAATACACTCCTTCAGACTAGTAATATCCATCCCATCTGAGCTGTAAATGTCTCTTTACAAATACACATTTTTCTTCTACTTTTTTCTTCTGTGCGTTACTTGAATATCTCATACTTTGACACCCAGGTCGTCCAGGGACCGAGAGCGCTCATCCAGAGACAGGTCACGGGAGCGCGACAGGCGAGACGGTATGAACGGCAGATCGGACTCCCGCCGGGCAGACGACAGGGACATGGGGGACCTCTAAAGACCAAACTCGGCATCTATCACGACACACAACCTCCTCCTGTCTCTCTCACCTGTCTGTCCATTTATAATAACCTAATGTTACACACAGTCCTGGCCTTGACCCCATTGTTCTCCCGCCTGCCTCCTTTGTTTGCTTTAACAGTTAATGCAGCCGACCCAGAGTGTACACGTACCTGAAATACTATGGATTAAAATCTCTAGCATCCAGATATATTGGAAGATTGCATTGAGATAGGGGGGATTAGTTATTGATCAGCAGTGGAGTGTATTGTGACCCACATCTGTAATTTGGTGGCTGTCTGTATCCAATACATGTCTTGTTATAAACTGCCCTACAACAGAAAAAGTGACCATAAACTGATGGTCTGCTGGGCTGAAGCATAAAATGTAACTGATCTGCGTCTTTTATCATTAACCGAAGGTCTTTTGATACACAGTCTGTCTGTAAATATGGTTTGGGCCCACTGATTGTAATGGTCTGAAAGGCCTCATCCTGTCGAGTTGTTTTGTTTCACCAGCTCCTGGTAAACAGCACTTGGTGTTTGAAAGTTGCAAGTATTCGTATTAACCTAATTTCCCTCATTATCCTTTTTTTTTTTTTTTTTTTTTTTTTACTATCAAGTTGTATTTTATGCTGTCAGTAGTGAAGGGAATCTATTTGATTGGTTTGGCCAGTGCTTGTTTTGAAGTCTCTTGTTTCAGTTTGTTTCGATCTTGATTTTGTTTATTTAAAATAATGAAAATAAATGGTTCCTCCAAAGTTAGTGTCGGCATGCAAAGCAGTAGGTTCAGAAATTATACAGTGGAAATTCATTGCTATAACTGTACATAACCTTTTGTTAGTCGAGACATGAGTTGAAATTTTGACCCAAACAGATTTTAATGGATGCATTGCTTTACCTAATGTGTGAAGTCATATCTGTTTATGTTCTGCTGGAAATCTTTCTTTGAAGTCTCTAAATAAAAGAAATCCCAACATTTTATTTTTATTGTGTGCTCGCCGCGTTCTTGTCACAGCACGTTAGTCATGGCTGAATTATTAAACGAGCATAAATACAAAGATAAATACATTTCATTTATTGAAATTAGTCTTCACCTACAAGGCAGAAATGAGACTGAAGGAAACCTCACATTAAAATCAACAACATAAATTACAAATGGTGTACTTTAATGATAAAATATATAATTTGAACAGCACTGCCTGATAAAAAGCTTAAATTTCTTATTCACTTCTAAATACTTCAGGTTTAACATGAACTAATTATGTCATAATGACCGTTGTGGTCTTCAGACAATGCTGTATGATTGAGTCACTATTCCACAGTTGTTCCCTGGTGAGTACAATCAATAAATCAGGAGTTGGATCTTTAGTGACAATAACACCAGAATATCACAATCCTTCATCTGAAAATTCATGACGTAGACGCCTGCTGCTCACAATGTGGTGCTGTCCAGTTTCAGATCAACCTTCATTTTCTGTTTCTCCATGACTGCCTCCAACTCTGTGGCCCTCCGGGCATCCTGGAGAAAGCAGAAGCGAATTGGGACACATGAAGGTAAAAGGATCTGTATTTTTATAAAAGAATGCTATAGGGTAAAAAATGTGTTTGTCTGTGTCTGTTTGTTTTAGAGGTTTAAAATGTTTTCAGCAACAGAGTTTGATGTGGCGTTTATGTGAAGTATAGACCTCTTCTTTAGCACACGACTACTTAGAAAAGACAACATGCCATGACAATAAAGTGACTCAGTAGCATCAGGAAGCTGGTCCCTTGGTCAAGAAATTGTGTTTTCCTGCTCACTGAATAAATTAATATTGGGCCATAATTTCATGTTTCTGACACAAGGTAAACTATGTTCAATAAATTATGCTACCAATAGTTTTTCCCTGTCACCAGATTGCATTTACAGAGAAATTAATATGAAATTGATGTACAATCAGTTCATCTTTGAACTCCCTAATCTGGTTGAAATAAAATATCAATAATCCATAAATAGTGCACTTTTCTGCCAAGAAGTCTGGAGGCATTTTATTGTGAGTTACTATCCTGACACGCTGTGGAAAAATAGGTTTGAATGGTTGGTTTTTAATGCATGTGATGTATGTGGAAAGAATTCTTAGCAAAATCAATTAAGCATCGATTACACTCATGATTTTGTGTTTGCTTGCTGTTAAAAGTTGTTCTCTGCACACTCAACTGGTTAATGTTTGATAACTGGTCAGATGTGTTTGACAGAAACAGAGAAACAAAGACCAGCTTTAAAGTGGCCATAATGTTCCTTCAATTTACCTCCAGTAGTGCTTTCTGCACAGTGAGCTGGCTGTACACTCTGGCACCCTCATCTGGAATCACAGATCGTAGCTCCTCCTTGTTGAGGGAGAAGAGCTGGGCCCCTGTCAGCACTCCCAAACATGACACCGTTCTGATGGACAAAAAGTACAAATTACTAATCTAGACAAACAGCCGCTTTAATGCAAGTTTTTCTATCCTTAATATCTATCCACCCATAATGAGAACATATACATTGATTATCTGTAGATTTTAGTAATTTACCTGTTCTATAGTTTGTCATTCATTTCCTTATAAGCTTTCTGACACTGAAAAACTGCTTTGTCATGGATAAATGACACTGGCAGCACATCCCAGTGTGTAAACAGGCCTGTAGTCAGCTGTTGTGACATCACTCACGGTTCACTGAAGCCCTTCCCTCGGAGCCACTCCGCTACCTCCTCTGGAGGAGAGTGGTAGTCCAGAGGAATGGAGGTCTCTGAGGAGCGAGGGATGACCAGGGGTTTGTTCATATTCTTTCCATTGGTCAGTCTCTGGAGCAGCTCATCATTCATCAGCATGACTGGAAAGATCGAAAGAGATAGAAATAATGATGATATTTAAGTCTTTTATGCCCACATTCTATTATTATTACTTTTTATTAATGTTCTCATTCTACACTATTTTGTATCGTACTGCAACTAATTGTTATTTTTATTATGGATCAATCTGTTGCTTATTTTCTCCATTAATTGACTGACTATTTGGTTTATAAAAATTCTGAAAATGGTGACAAATGCCGTCACTATTACCCAGAGCCCAAGGTGACACCTTCACAATGCTTGTTGTCCAAACCTCACATGAAAAATGACTTGAAAAAGTAGTTGTCAATACATTTCCTTTCAATCGACCAACTGATTAATTGACTAATCAATCGAGCTGTCCTTGTGTACTGTGCTTTTAATCTAATCAATAACTGTTGCAGAGACAGTCTAGGAGATTATAGCTCCCTATATTCAAAGCACCTTTTCACAGCATCTATATGACACACCCACACCTCCCACACAAACGCGTATAGTTTAGTACCTTTATTATCTGTGTCCTCTGCAACTGGTACGTGTTGGCTGTATGCTGGTAAGCTGTGGGGACGCTTGGGGGAGTGGGAGGGGGCGCGGGGTGGAGCAGGAGGGCTGGGTGGGACCGCAGAGATGGTCTTGATGAGGGTAGGTGGAGCTGGAGCCTGCAGGAATGTGGAGCAGAGAGGGAAATTAAGACTGGAATTCACTCAGGTGTCTACAGGTGACAACATACATCTGTGCTTGTGTGGTTCGTGTGTGTGTGTGTGTGTGTGTGTGTGTGTGTGTGTGTGTGCGTTTTTTCGTCTCACACTCGGGGGTTTGTTTGTGACGGGACTGTCTGCGTGAGCCACAGGTTCCAGGATGTTGAAGGGAACAAACCCGATCTGGTTGAAGCGATTGCGACACTTCCACCAGCGCTTGGATGATTCGATCACCTGTCAGGCAGAGGAGTTGCTGTCAACAACTGCATATACTGCAGGCTTCATGATGGGTTCCTGAATGCACCACTAATACGGTCTTATTGTGTTATTTTACATAAACTACTTGATTTCATTACCTCGAGTGTCTCCCCCTGCTGCACTGAAAGCTCACTGCTGTTCCTGGCTATGAATTCATAGGTGCAGCTGTACAGTCTCTCGGGCTCTGGCTGAAGTCTGAGAGGAACGTAGACACACACCATTATCATACAGTACAGGGTTAAATTGTAGCAGCTGATTGATTTGCTTCTTAAAGATGTCCTACCTTTCATCTCTGACGTGCCTTTCTGGAGGTCCGACTAGCTGAGGAGACTGCTGGGGGTCGACAAGATGGACATTCATGAATATGCAGAACCCACAAAGGCATAAACAGACGGAGAGAAACAGGTAAAGGGTCATCACACAGAGGGAATGGGGTGGCTGACAAAATACAAGACTGAAATTCTTGTTAAACATGCACACGCAGCGAGAGCTTTGAGAGTTTCCTCTTAAAAGGAAGGTTTCAAAAGAAAAAAATGAAGCCCTAGCCAACAGAGTGAAAAATGTCCTCTTTATCTGTTGGAATTTCAGGAGTGCATTAATCAGCAAAACACCACTTTCAGCAATTATTTTACGTACTGTTAATAATCATAACATGTGCCGAACATAAGCTTGAACAACAGTTAAGTTAAAAATCACAGTCATTCATATATAATAGTGGATTCATATAATGATTTATAACCAAAGCCAACACAAAAACATGTGGAACAGGTATTCCATACCTCTTGTTTTACCCGGAGGTCCTCGAGTTTGTGCTGTGACTCAACCGGATCCTCCCAAACCTGCCCATTTGCCTTCAGGGCTTCCGGCTTCCAACCACTCAAGAACACTGGGGTGTACGGAGCTACAGGCCCTCTGAGCTGAGACCTGAGAGAGCACAAAGAGTCACTGTATTGGGCCTTGTTGCACTTACTTTACAGTGTGACCAAAACTACGATTGCCTGTTAAACATGCAGTATGTCGTGCCAATACTAAATATCTTCACATTACATTCACGCCTGAGAAATCTGTCCAGTGTGGCCAACAAAATTATATTGTTGGCTGTGTGGAAAGATTTATTACATTAAAATTCCCCATTAAAATGTTATGGTATTCAGCATACTTTTAAAAGGTAATCAATCAAATAACATTTCACTGAGGTTTTTTTGCTTTCACGCAGCTGTGGTCAGTGAAGAATCTCCATCACATACTGAATTATCTCAGGGGAAGCCAGGCAAAATAAAGAAAAACTGGGTCATCATTCTTGACGAAAATGTATTTCATGTTACTTGTTGGTACTGACCGTGGGAGCGTCCAGTTGGGACCCAGAGATGTCCACAGCTGCCTCTCCTCCTCGTTCAGGTTGTCTTGTAGCAGGGAAACAGCAGAGTTGGTCAGGGCGGGGCTGGACACCGTGGCTCCGAGATCTGGTCCCCCTGTTGTTTTCACCATCTGTACATGCACCCACATAAGAGACAACCGATTTTCATGCTCCCAGTTTGTACGAACAGGTCTAATACCAAATGTCTGAACAATCCCTGGTGTTTTTGACCAAATATCCCTTCTGATCGCGCAGTAGTACGCTAATGTCTGACATTATTTGATTAGTAATTAAGCTAAACACAACTTTTCTTTTTTTGTTAGAGCTCAGTCAACCAAAGTATGAGACACACACACACACACACACACATTCAAACAAACAAACAAACATATACAAGCCTAATGGATGCATCCAAACACACAAACAACACATACAAACACATGAAAAAGCGACATACACAGTCCCAGAGATGAGGCTGTGTGTTTCCATTAAGGTGTGCCATTATACAAGTATCAAACACACCCAAACCACCCACTGATTCTCTTGATGAGGACTGATTCATACCTGAATAGAAAAATTCTGGGGTAAGCCTTCATTGTTATATCAAACACTTGAAATGTCATGTCTGATGCTTGAAATTTTATTTGTAATTAGTTAAATACTCTTTCCTAAATCTGATGGCATATGTTTTTTAAGGAAAGTCATAGAGAAACTATTTTTGACAGCCGGAATACACCTGTGTTGTAATTCCAAGCAGCAGTCAGGGGACAGCAACGTGGCATTTTAAGCACTATGAGAGTCCAGCTCAAATCCATTCCAACTGTTTTACAAGTACGCACCTAGGACACACACCTGTGCACAAACACCGACGTATAAACCAGAACAAACAAATGTGGTATTTATTGAGTGTTTGGAGTTTCAGTTGGGCTAACTCACTGGGAACTGCCCTGTGTAAATAAATGGAAAAATGAATGAATGGAACTTGTAGTTTCTGGCAACAGTACTCAACTACACTGACGTCTTTCCATTATTTTGACAAGACACACGCTTGCATTTTTTTTTCCACACTTGTGTTTAGCAACAGCTCAGGGACCAACATACTGTCTCTGACCTGGTTTTGACCCATTAGCTATTATATAACAATGTTATATAATATATTGTCCACATGTTTTCGACACCCAAATCTTCTGTTCATCTGCTCCAATATGATGAGACATGATGATGAGACAGAATGAGAGATGTGGACACTAGATTTATCTTAAAACGTTTGTCATGCCCTGCCTAGGCTTTTTTATCTGTGCTGCATTAAAAGACAAGTGTTTACAGCTGTAGCAACAACAGGCGCTGCCTCCACAAGTCCAAACTGGTGGAGACGTAGAAGTTGTAAATGCTCACTTACCATATTCAATGGTTTGAATACATGGTGAACAAGCTCCTCTGAGGAAGGATTGGAGATGGTTGATTTCAGACGGGCCTATACAAAAATAAATAGAGTAATTTATGATGTAGCACACTAAGATAACCAAAAAAAAAATCAAATGTGGCCTGACTGAATACACACCAGCAGGCTAAAGCAATATTTGAATTTCTGGAAGATATCGATGAACTCCTCCTCTGGTGGAGGTCGGGCATTTGCAGCGAGTGAATCTTCTGTTGTTCAGATACACAAAATACAAGAAAATAGAGTACCCACAGTGTTATCAGGAGCCAGAGCTACATTATTATCATAACTAGTCTTGTGGGCAGTATCTGCAAAAAATCTCTTTTTACCTTCAGTAGTTTGCTTTTTACTTTTACTCTTCTTTTTCTTCTTCTTCTGGCTCAGCGCTGTTGCAGCCTCTGCAGTCTTCTGCAGCTTGGCCATGAAGTTCTCGATGTCATCGAAACAGTGATTGAGGATCCCCTGAGGGAGGGAGAACCAGTTTGTTATGCTGTTCAGATATGAGTTAAAGCCAGGGGTGACTGAAAAGGTTAAGAAAGGTAATCAGGAGACGTACCACTTCTCTCTCTGCTCGCAGGAAGGAGATGTCAGGCCCGCCGTTCACTGCCATAGAAGAGAGGAGACAATTCAGTTTGTCCATTGGCAATGAATGCAAATGGATGGTCTATACATGGCCCTGGTCTTTGCTGGATTTGTAATTCCTGCCCCCCTTTAGCCTTGAAACCCTCCCCCCTTACGCACACACAAACACACAAAGCATTCTTTGTGCTCCTAAATACTTCACACTTCTTTCTTTTCCTTCTTCTTACCATCTCATCATGTCAAACACTTTTCCAGCAAGCAGTTTTGCTGTCATATACGACTTTGTGTGGAAACAAGTATTTTTATCTTACCTCTGAGTCCGGGGTAAGGCGGAGGGTTGGATGGTGGGGGGTTTGGAGCTTGTGTGATGGGGTGGCTTGGGATTTCACTCGGGTTGATCATCTTTCCTTCACTCTGAGGAGGCCTGAAGGAAGAGAGGAGACATTCAAACCCCGCTACACTCTCCCAACATTGTTCTACAAGTAGTGTTATGATGGCGGCGACCTATCACTCTGCACCATCACAGGAAACACCCTTCAGGGGCTTTAAGAAGTCATCGCACGCATTCATAAAACACTCATTCGATTGCAGATAGGCTCAATCTCATTCTGCAGCATTGGAGACTATTACAACAACAGGACATCTTTAATCAGTGGATTCAGCCACACAACTCAGTCCTCCATCAATGGACATTATGCAGTGCCTCTGAAATTGAACCCCGCAGCCCTCATTCCACCTTGAAAGTACAGTAAACAGTCTGACTGTGCTTTCTTATGGCTATCGCCCATATTGCACACAACACTTTGCTTCAAACAAAACTCTCCTTTTAAACAAATCAACAAGCAACTAGACAGTTTAAAATACTAAAGACAAGGCCGTGGATAAAAAAAAAACCCTTTTTTTATGTTTGCCTACTCTTGCACACACACAAGCCCTCAGAGTTCTAGCTCAAACTTATGTGCTATTGAATCAGGATTTAAACACAAAAACCCCGCTGTCTGTCTGTCTTACCACATGTCCTCCACACGTCCTTTATAGATAAATGCTTTCAAAGCAGGTATTTCATTCAGCCCCCGAGAGTGCACACCGCCACCGTCGTCTCTCCTCCGCTCTCTCTCCCTTCTGTGACAATGGCCTTGTAATCTCTGTCACACCTTCTTAAGTTATGTGGAAACTGGTAAAACAAGTCCTACTCTCGCTCTCTCAGCTGTTTACACTGTCCTCTCTGTCTCCCTCTCTCTGCCAGACAGGTGGATGGTGACAGAGGTTTGCATTGATTCAGTGGAAAATAACACATAATGGCCGTAAAAGAGGAGAAAAGCAAACAGCTTAATGGGAGATGGGTCTGAATTATCGTGTATCATCCTTGTCTTTTGTTCGGCTGCGTGTGTGTTGTTATTTGGCTGCCCGTAAACCTCCACCCATACAATAACACCAAAACAATGCAAACACACACACACACACACACACACACAGAAACACGCCATGTCCCATTAAAACCATGATAAGATATGGGAACTAGGCACTTAAAAGATTGCATTTCATAAGGAACAAACATCAAATGAAGGGTTTTCAGTGTTAAAGCTTGTGACTATAACATTCACTATACCTGAGGCCATCAGGGAGCTTCTTACTCCGGCTTGAGGAGGACCCCAAAACTGCGCGTGAGATGTCGTCAGAGATTTGCTTTGCCTGGGAGAATAAGAATCTGAATCACTTGAAAAAACTGAACCTAATTTAAAACTGACACACTGAGTAGGGCAGGACAGAGCAGAGGGGCTGCTCAGATGTTATCACTCACCTTCACAGTCTCGCAGTTAAAGAAGTGAATGTCCGGTTTCTTCTGATCTACACCTTGGCAGACTAATAGAAGAAGGGATGGGAAGTGTTTTTCAGTGTTAATGGCATCGCAGCGGTGGATGGATTTGAAAGAGTATTTCTCCAGCTCGTCCTGCAAGGGTAGGTGAAATTGAAGGTCATTATGTGTGCTAATATGAATCTCATCTTCATCCACCCACAATCTATCCAGTCCTTCTGACCGTACTGCATCTGTTCTCACCTGGCTCTGTATGTCTCGGAGATGAATGGCTGCCGCTCCGACGTCCAGATACATCTGTTGAATCCACAGCTTTTTGTTCTGAGCCAGGAAGGAGAGACGTGACTTGGCCTCCTCCACGCCCTGCACATCCCCGTCCTGAAGTGAGAACGTCAGCAGGTGCTGCAAGTGGAGAGAATAAAGTAAAGGGTGAGGAAAAAGGCATCTTAAAATATGACTTAGTGGTCTTGAGAGTTAATGTGTAGATGTGTAGGAGATAGGACTTACACTGACAAGATATCGGGAGATGTTTGTCATCCTTTGTTCACTGTATCAGCGCCTCTGGTCTGAAATGTTTAAGTTAGAGCAGGTTTCTATGAATATATAGGCTGGGGAGAGGAGATTGGAAAATATGTTAGGAGGAGTTACAAAGGGTGTTGTCAAAGGACCTTTGATCTGCTCACAGATATAGATAGTTCAGCTGACACTGATGATGTGGTTTAAAGGCAGGCAGCGCTTTAATCTCAGCTAGTCCTTCTCTAAAATAATTTAGCCAGTGCCTGTGGAAGCAACACCCTCATTCCATTTTTCCCTTCCTGTGTTTGAGCCTACGTCAGTCTGCACCTCTCTGTGCTTCACTATCGTGGGATGGCACTATTTGAGCAAGCAAGCCACCTAACCAGTCTGATGGCAACACAGTGTATCTCATTACGTAATCTCATTTTGCCAGAGACCATCAATACCGAAATCACTGGCATCAAGAGAGCAAACGTCCAGTATCGCTAACACTCCCTGGTTTCATTAAAAATACATGGTCAAAATTACTTTACATGTTGTTTGTTCACACAGTCAGTGCCAAACTTGTGTGGCAGGTATCATGCTCATCTATGATATAGTATTTCAAAGTAAATGTCAACTATATACAGTGACAAATATTAGCAGGGCAATTTACGCACACCATTCTGACGTAAAAAAGTGAAAATTAATTTAATATCAGCACTACTGAAAAGGAATGTAAAAACATTAGCAAGAAATCAACCTCAGAACTTCACCCTGTTGATAATGATTACAAAAATGTTATAGTATTGTTATAATGTACTGTATGTGCAATCTGTAGGTCATGACTATGTTAAAACACGTCATGCTTTGGTTACAACATTGCTAAATACTATTATGACCCATGATTTAATTTAGTGTACCAGGTGTTTTGGACTTCAGTAAGTCTGTATTAGCAGTTTGAAATTTTATCAAATGAACTAACAACTTTGAATTAACAGAGGCTACATTGTTTTCCAAGTAGCTATAGCTGCTAATTACTTTTTATGCACTAGTGGCATAAAAACATCAATCACACAATATCTTTCAGTGCAGTTCCTGATTCATAGTTACTGTATAAATCAAAATTCATATAAAGATTAAACAGTCTTAAAAGTTAGACTACCTCAGCGACTGATAAGTGGAAACTGATATTTGATCAACTTACCAGGGTTGATAGGCTTCCAATGCTTTATTCCTGATGTTGGCAGCTGTGTATGTTTCCACCAAGAGTAAAACCTGTCCTGTGTTTCAGCGTACCTGCAGGTATCTCATTCCTCACTCTCATCTCTTTGGTATGGAAAGCTTTCACAGAGCAAAGGTGTGTCACCTTGAGCAGTACCGCCCACTCTACCACCCCACCTTAGAGATAAAAATATTTACTCAGTCTCTCACCTGTTGGGACACATTTAGGAAAGTGTGCAGGGTCATGGCTACAATTGGCAAAATTTAAGTCAGAAGTATTTTCTCTTGGAATTTGGGATGTAAAGTAACCTAGAGCGGTTAACGCCCTAAATGTAAAGGCTTAGTTATGTTAGTTATATTTTTATAGTCTGATTCCAGTACTTGTTGACTCAATATATTTAAACTTGACCACTTGAAGCAAGCAAAATAACATCAGAAAATATAAATACAAGATTTGCAGATTCCTGCAAGTTACTGATAGTTGCAATTTCAAAGCATCTTTGAAATAATAACATAGTACACACACACACACACACACACACACACACACACACACAAGGTTGGGGGTGGGGGGCATCATGCATAGGTTGGAAAATGGGAAAGTGGGGTGTCACATTTCATAACAGTCCTCAACTGAAGGTTGACAAGTTACCATGTCATCCACAGAGAAGATAGGCGGAGTCTGGTAAAGTGGCTGCAAGCGAATTACTTGACTTTGGTCTAAGGACATTTGGATACTCTTTTTTTGTAAAGGATCTCTGCTATTTGATACCACGAGGTAGGCTAATCAGTTATTAATAAATACATGTCGTTATTTGCAAGCGAATACACTACACTGTTAATTATAAGTTGACCGTATAGGTGAGTGTTTGATTTGACTCCAAAACAAGAATACGTGGCACAAAGCGCGCGCGCGTGTATGTGTGTGTGATGTTTGATGTGGTGCTTTCCAGAACTGCAGTGAATCCTGTTGGACTAATGACTTTAAAGACAAAAAGGAGTTTTAGATTTTGCAGGATCTGAGCATGATCGCTGTTACAGAGCGAAAAAAAAACAAAAAAACAACTAAAAACCGTACTGCTTGATGACTAGACAGAGTATTGCATCAGCCTACCCTTTCTTTATATTTTCATAAACTAAACTGTACTAAATCAGGGAAAGAATATCTGATAGTAAGAAACAATAACTGAAACAAAAACTGAAACGGTCTCAGGTGAGAAGGTGTTTGCCACGTGTTATGTTTGACAATCTAGAAATGTGGACCAGAGGAGATCAAATTATTCAACTTTATTCCTTTTATTTCTTAACCTTCCTATTTAAAAGGCTAAGCAATTGTCAATTACATGGGGTTGTCAATTAAAATCTACCGTGAATGAAACAGTCACACGTGTTAGGAAATAAAATCCTTTGTAGGTGTTGAAGGTGCGTTCATGGCTCCTTGTGTGTGTGGGAACCTTTAATTTTAGCTGAAAGCTGCAAATATGTGTCCAGTTGGGTGTATTCTAAAATTTTAACAGCACCCACAATCCTTAATTACAAAATGACTGCAGTGGTGCAAGGTAACTAGTACATTTATGTGAGTAGCCTACTGTAACTACATAAATAGGCTACTGCAGGCTACTTTTTAAAAGCAGTAGGCTGCATTGAATAGTTTCAGCTTTTCAGTTGTGATGATTTGCTGGTTTGCTGTAAATGTATAGCCTATTTTGTTGGGGTTTGGATTGTTTGTAGAGCAAAACAAGGTTTTTGAATATCCCCATTTGGGTTCTGGAAACACCGACGGATATCTGTATGTGATAGGGCCTATCATTTTGTTCACAGTTCATTAGAAAAACAGCAGACAGATTAATAGGTAAACGTCTCTGCAGTTGTCTCCGTGACGTATTACTCCAGGTTTGTGTCCGTGCTAACAACGGTGTTCACATTTCGGACAGCTCTTTAACGTTTGAACATTGTGGGTGGAGTGTTCTTTGAAATGCGCGGAAGAAACAAGCCCACATCTACACCAATAAACCGCGAGATTACGCGGGTGGTGACACAATGCCCATTATTGCCTGCATGTGAATCTTTTTTGTACCTTTTTGTATAGTTTAACATCGGCACCAAAGTAGTAGTATTATTTCTGGTATGTTACATTTAAATTGATAGGTGGAAACCGAAGATTAACCTGGCTCGCGCTGCGTTCAGGCAACAAACCACAGCCACACGTGGCTGTTTCCTCCTTTGAACAACGGAGAATAAAATATTGTCGACATTCTCAGTTTGCTGCTAACTCCAGTGTTTCTTCTTCTTCTCTTTGGCGACATTAGCTGGTTACCAGGTCAGTGTGGTTTATCGTAAGTGTCCGTTTTCTGTGTGTTTACAGTGAGTCCAGACAAAGAGTTGGTCAAGACTACTGGCTTTATTTCTTAATAATAAGAGGATATGAACATTCGTTAGGATCTAAGTGCTCTAACTCATGTTGTGAGGAGGTTTGTTTACTGAACACAGGGAGTGTATTATTAAGCCTGGATTATAAAAGCTTACAATTAGTGTACTAATACTATTACTGTGTAACTAACCACCTGTGGGGTAGCTAGCTGTAAAAGTACATAAATATTAGCATTAAAATGTACTTAAAGTACCACGTACTAATTTTGCAGAATGTTGTAGCCTAAATTATATTATTGGATGCATTAATGTGTTCATCACTTTTTTGCTGCACTTGGTAGAGGTGGGGATCATTTTAATTATTTTATATACTGCCATGTAGCTTGTGAATCTCCCCCAGAGATCAATAAAGTTGTATTTTATCTTTATTGATAATAAAACAACTCTATTCATTTGTTGATTTTATTTTGTATTATTTTACAGAATGTAACCTCTAGTTTACCCTTCTGTATTCATTCATTGTAACTGATAATGATATTAATAATAATAAAAAAGAATAATTATGTCGACCATCATGGACCATCACAGTCTTACTTCATCAATATAGTGGTTACGTGTTACTTTGCATCTTGACCCGTTTCTGTCCTTTCTTTCTTTTGTCCCCTACTGTCTTAGATGGAGAAGCAGCCTTTGCCAACTGACGATGACAATATAGGAACCTTGGAGCCAGAGATCAATGGCTATGCTGGTGAGGAGAGCCAGCAGGGCTTCCCTGAGCCTGCCGCTCGAGCAGGATGGAACAGTAAAATAGAGTATTTTTTGGCTCAGGTGGGATTCAGTGTTGGGCTCGGCAACGTCTGGAGGTTTCCATATTTGTGCCATCAAAATGGAGGAGGTGAGTGCAATACAGTATACTATACATTATATATACAGTATTACACCAAACTCAGAGTGGGTAGTCAGCATCGTCATCACAGGACAAGTATGTGATGAAAGAGAGAATATTATTATTGGGCTTAACCATAATGTTTATACACACAGTATAAACTATCCTTTTTGAATTTCCCATACGGGAGATCAATCAATGAATGAAAATTAATGTACTGAAAGGGAAAAATAAAGTATTATTTCTTCTTCTTCTTCTTCTTCTTCTTCTTCTTCTTCTTCTTCTTCTTCTTCTTCTTTCTGTAAAAAAATTAACTAAATTCTGCTGCCCTGAAATCTGATGTGCCAACATCTGGTTTCTATCTGTCGCCTGGGAAAACAGTATAAACTGTACCAGAAAATACAGACACCGTTACACCAATGTAATCAACTTTTTAAACAAGTTTTGTACTTTCAATACTGCTGTCGGTTTTTCTTAAAATGGCGGCTTATGAAACCATTGACCCGAAAGAGCTTCATGTGCCGTATTTACCCTGAAGGGTGGATTAGGTGTATTTTCAGAAGAATGTTGTGTTGCAGGTGGAAGTAATTTGAATGGTTCAAAATTCTGCTCACGTGGCACAAACATCTGCTTCTCCTTTTGAATAATTTTTGTTCAGAGTATGAAATTGTGGTGCTGTTTGCCAACCAAATGCTGGTCACTTCTTCTCTTCAGGAGCTTTTCTCTTCCTGTATGTGCTGCTGATGCTGGTTGTGGGCATACCCTTGTTCTTCCTGGAGCTGGCAGCCGGTCAGGCCATCCGACAGGGCAGCATTGGAGTGTGGAAGTACATCTCCCCCAAGCTCGCAGGGATTGGCTACTCCAGCTGTGTAGTAAGAAACTGGTTGTTAATTTATTGATCCACCTTCTAATACTTTTTGATTGTTCAGTATATGATGTTGCTTGTGTTGTACACTTCTGCTTCAGTCAATACTTTTTCTGTTTTTACCACAGTCAATAAAAGCACTGTCCTAGTGCTGTTATGATGTGATCAGGTGTACTTGTAGTTCAAATTACAAAACAGTTACGAGGAAGTAACTGCAAACGGGAAGGCTGTTACTTTCTTGCTACAGCTGTCAAGGCATGTGGTGTCTTTCTCTTTTTATCTCTTGAGTATTAGCATCAACTGCTGAGAGAAGCACTGTAACCATGTACCTACTTTTTTGTTCACATTTTTTGACAGATGGTAAACAGTATTTGCCCTTTTAAAACATAGCATCATTTTCATATGAATGTGATAATCTTGTTCTCAAATGTCCTCAGGTTTGTTTTTTTGTGGCTCTCTACTACAACGTGATCCTTGCATGGAGTCTTTTCTATCTTGGGAACTCGTTCCAGTACCCTTTACCTTGGGAACATTGTCCAACACTGGGAAATGTAACAGGTAAACACAGAGTATTAAGGTTAAAAACTGACAAGACACGAGCAGTAACTACATTGTAAATGTATTAGCTGTGTCTCTTGATCAAATTTTTTTCTCTTTACACCAGTGAAAGAATGCAAAAAGAGCTCCCCCACATCGTATTTCTGGTACCGCCAAGCTTTGGATATCACAGACTCTATAGATGAGACAGGCTCTTTCAACCCTTACATTACCTGCTGTCTGCTGGCAGCCTGGACCATTGTGTGCCTGGGAATGTTCAAGGGTATCAAGTCCTCCGTCAAGGTACATGTGTGATCTGTTGTGGCACCTGGCTTTCAAAAATTTGTATTTTTTGCTTGTGTTTAGCAGCACTTTGGTAGTGTTGTTGTGATAAACAGGAGCTGTAAACAATGCAACTACTGGACTTGAAACATTTTCCAGTCAGTTACTTACTGATGAGTTTCTACTTCAAACATCACAGATTAAATGGCTGAATGGCTGTTTATCTGCATTAAGATATGCATGTAGGAGTCAGATGGTTCATATCTGCAGGATGAACTTGTTTATGCATTTCAAGTTGCACTAGGAAAATGTGTCATGTGATATTGCTAAGAAAAATGTTAATTGTTTTGGTTACTAAACACAATATATATTTTTTTAATACACCTGGAGATATAAGTTAATTTTCATTACCACTGCAGAATGGATGGCTGAGCATTAAATAACAAAAATGTGCTACATTGTTTTGACATTCTCAGTTTGGTCAAATCCCAGTCATGTGTTGGGCTTAGATTTTGGGGTTTGCTTTGAGTGATGGCGTCTCTGGAATGTCTGGCTTAGGTGTTGACCCACTTCAAATGGCAAAATCCACATTTTGTGTTGAAGTACTGGGAGTTTTGTAAATGTTTTTAATACTGTGTTTGTTTACTGTAACACATATCGGCCCATTCAGTCTCAGTAGAGCTGTAAATTATAATGAACAGCAAAGCTCTCTCAAGATGGCATTAGTGTTGCCAGGCATGTGTAGAGCAAACATACTGTTTCAGGTGTTTCATGCTACTACTGACTTAAGCACCTGGCATCTCGATTACAAGGGCCATATGTTCAGTCTCTAAAAAGCAGCAAGCTTTACACTTCAGATTAGATTAAGGCCCCATCCACACTACTGCATTTTCCAATAAAAATGGAGACCTTTTGCTACATTTGCACCTCCCATCCAGACTAAAACAGCTAAAACGGAGAAGTTTGGAAACGCTGCCGACCCCGTTTTGCGTTTCGAAACTCCGGAGGGCATTTTTGTGAAGACGGGCAAAAACGGAGGATTTTAGAAACGATGACGCAGTCGTTCACGCTCGGCTCTCTGATTGGGTCTTATAAGTCATGCAAAGCAGAAACACGATGCTACTGACAGAGTTTTTCAGTCGGTATTTTTTTTTAAATATTCTGTACCGTGCAAATAACACTTAGACCTATCTGCCTACACTTGTAGGGTACTGCATGTACTGTGCAACGACTCCTAGTCTGTTTTCCGCCGCCACACTTCCTGTGTCACATTCAGTAACAGTCCCAGCTCCTTATATGTGCATGCAAAAAAAATCTGGTCTGATTCTTCGTCTGCATTTCTTTATTCTTTCACCAAATCTTCTGTAACTACGGAATAGACCATCTGCTTCATGTTTACACCGGCACGCGCATGCCCAGTGTACCTGAACGGCCAATAGATGTGTGTTTTCAGTCGTTTTAATGTAGACGGAGATCAACTCTGATATGCAGCTAAAACGCTGGTTTGGATCCTATTCGTTTTAACTCTCCGTTTGGAAACTAAAATGGAGTAGTGTGGATGGGGCCTAAAGGTCAGTTATCTCTGTAGGGAAAATGGGTTGTTACAAACTTAGTATGATTCAGCAGGGTACTAACTAAAAAACACTATTAGCATGTGGAATGTAACTAAGTAATTTAAGGAAACGAGTCTGTTGGTGCACAGCTTACCATGAAAAACATGGAAATTTGTATGCACACAGGCACATATAACTGTTAGCTGTCTAGATTTACTTGTTAATGTAATTATTTTTTCTCACTTCCTAGGTGATGTATTTCTCCTCCATCTTCCCCTACGTGGTTCTGTTCTGCTTCCTTGTCCGAGGACTCCTGCTGGATGGGGCCTTAGAGGGAATCTCCTACATGTTCTACCCCAAGGTATCCACAGATAAAATGTCTGGCTGAGTGTAGAGAAGAGAGGCAGATATGAGTATTTCCCTGACGCACCTGTTGTTCCCTCCATTAATTTCTAGCTAGAAATTTGGGCAGATGTGCAGGTGTGGCGGCAGGCAGCCACACAGGTCTTCTTTGCCTTGGGTCTTGGCTTTGGGTCCATTATCGCCTACTCCTCCTACAATCCCAAGAACAACAACTGCCACCGTGATGCCTTCACTGTCTCTGCTATAAACTTCTTCACATCTGTGCTGGCCACTCTAGTGGTGTTTGCTGTGCTCGGCTTCCATGCCAAAGGAAAGGTTGTAGAATGTGTAGCCAGGTATGTTTTAGAGGATAATCATTGAGTTGTGCATTAAAAGACCCATACTACACTGAACAAAATTATAAGCGCAACACTTGTTTTTGCCCCCATTCATCATGAGCTGAACTCAAAGATCTAAGACTTTCTCTATGTACATAAAAGGCCTATTTCTCTCAAATATTGTTCACAAACATTTCAAAATCTGTGTTAGTGAGCACTTCTCCTTTGCCGAGATAATCCATCCACCTCACAGATGTGGCATATCAAGATGCTGATCAGACAGAATGGGTATTGCACAGGTGTGCCTGAGGCTGGTCACAATAAAAGGCCACACGAAAAGGTGCAGTTTCACTGTATTGGAGGGGTCCAGAAACCAGTCAGTATCTGGTATGACCACCTTTTGCCTTAGGCAGTGCAACACATGTCCTTTGCATTGAGTTGATGTTGATTGTGGCCTGTAGAATGTTGGTCCACTCCTCTTCAATGGCTGTGCAAAGTTGCTGGATATTCGCTGGACCTGGACACCGCTGTCATATACGCCGATTCAGATCGTCCCAAACATGCTCAATGGGTTACGTGTCCGGTGAGTATGCTGGCCATGCAAGAACTGGGATGTTTTTATCTTGGTTTTTATCTTTTATCTTTTATTTTTTGAGTTCAGCTCATGATGAATGGGGGCAAAAACAAAAGTGTTGCATTTATAATTTTGTTCAGTGTACATTATGGCTTGGTACAGACTATGGTACATCCCCTTTATGGGTATAATTAAATTTTCTTTTGTCTCCTTTTTTTTAGTAATGTGAAGGAGTTAACAGAGCAGCTTCGCATGGGTTATGTTGACACGAACATGTTGCCAGGCTTCAACTATTCTGATCCCAGTTCTGTGGCTATAGAGGACTACAGTGCCTGGTTTAAACAGTACGGAAATAAGGTCCCTGGCAATTTAACAGAGTGTGACCTGGAAAAAGAGATGCAGAAGGTAAAGATTGTCAATTTGCTCAAGGGGATTTTGTTTTTGTATTGTATGTGCTGTTCATCAAAAACTAAAGCTGCCCCTCTTGTGTTCAGGGTGTAGAGGGCACAGGCCTAGCTTTTATTGCCTTCACAGAGGCCATGTCACTACTGCCTGCAAGCCCCTTCTGGTCAGCACTCTTCTTCCTCATGCTGCTCAACTTAGGACTCAGCACCATGTTTGGCACTATGGAGGGCATCCTCGCCCCACTCACCGACCGCTTCAAAACTCTGGCCAACAACAAGATCAAGCTCACAAGTAAACACCTGTTTTACCTCTATGCAAGCTTCAATATCACATTACAGACATGACTCAGGATAGTTGGCTAGCTATGTTTGTGAAAAGATGCTATAAAATCTTGATTCTGCAATTAATTTATTAGACACATCCAGCAAATTCTAATTAACGAAAGTATTTTAGTTAATCATGGCTTAGTCTTCATTCTAAAGGGCTGTCTGCACCAAGAACTTTAATAATAATGATGTGTGCGCATCCACACTGATGAACGATAATGTTCTGCCCCCAAGCACACGCTGTGTACCTCAACTGTGTCGCTGACTGGTAATGCTAGATAGGCTACAAGCTGGGCGTTATCTATTCATAATCGTCTTCTTTTCTCTGTTAATAAGAATGACAAAACATTTAGCTCGTACCTGCCGTTGTTTGCTTTGTATTGTTCAATATAGATTTATTGTCGTTTTACCGATACTCAGGTACACAGCTTCTCCACAGTCTCAGTCGCTGTAACTAAGATGATCCACATAATATACAATACTGCAACAAAACGGCGCAGAACAACAAAACAAAGGAATACCCATCTAACTTACTAACATTACAGTAATGTGGTCTAACTGTTAGAAAGTGTGGCAACAGTCTCATTTGTAATATGTAGTCCAGCTCACTAACCGTTTTGTTATCATCCAATATATATAGGTTAGCTGTGCTCACACTGCTGAGCCTCCGGTGAAAGATACACAGATAGTAAAGTTAGTTACTGAAAAGCAGACAGGCGAGCTAACGACGATGTACCACTTCAGCTAAATGCAGTAAATGTAACATTATCATGTAAGCATGGATTAGTTCAACCTGCAGCTGATAAAAATATTACTGTAACTTTGCTGTGGGAGTTTACCTGAGTTTCCAGCATGTTGTGGGAAGCTGTCTCCCTGTCTGTCTATAGCCACTGTCACACTGCCTTTTTACGGGGCGTATTGTGCCAATATGCCGGTGTCTTGCTGCGCTGAATGAAAGGTACGGAGATCTGTTGATCTGCCTCTGACCCAGGAACATTGAACTAAAATAGCCTGAATATGTCTGGAGAAAAGCCACGATTCCGTGATTATTGAAGAATTTCTGTATGAAAGCGGTTGGGTTTGGGATTATGCTCGCTCATGAGTTCAAGCGAGCACGCCTAAGAGCCCACATCTGGTTGCAATCTTAAAACCGCATCGCCAGTGGCCGCTGAAAACTCCATAATCCCCCTTTAAGTTTTGAATTAAAGAGAAATGGCTTAACAGCATTCTGCACAGTACTCTAAACAACATTGTCATTATCAAAATGTCACTGTCAATTTTGTGTTGTCCATTAAGTGCTGTTGGACAGTAAAGTCTAACCTAACTACCCCTCTGGCATGAATCTCACTCTGGTCAGTGTTTTGTCATGTGTCATGGACCTGAGTCTAAACAGGATTTCCTGCCAACCCAACAATCCATCAGGTCATTTGACTGACACCTTCAAGCAGAGAGGGAGCAAAATTAGTAAATTTACTTGCCAAAATTATTCTCCACAAATATTTACTACACAGTGCTTTATTGCATATGCTCTCTGTAAAGAAGTGGTCTTATCCTAACATGTCTGTTCTGTTTTTATATCGTTGCAGTTTTCAGCTGCATCATTGGCTTTCTAATTGGCCTGCTCTTCACCCAGCGTTGTGGGAACTACTTTGTGATGATGTTTGATGATTACTCTGCCACTCTGCCCCTCATCATTGTGGTGGTTTTTGAGACCTTTAGTGTGTCCTGGCTGTATGGAGCTGACAGGTGAGAGTTATTTCCAGACTATGGGTAACGGTCTTCAGTTTTGCAATCTTAAATTCCATGTAGAATTCACCTAATTATTTTAGTTCTGATAGAGTCTTATCAGTGTTTGTCTCAAAAATGTGTAATTTCTGAAGGATTACCACTCTGTTTCTGAAGGTTCCTGGACGACATTGAGGCAATGCTGGGCTGGCGTCCCAGTGTGATTTACAAGTACCTGTGGAAATACATCTGCCTTCTTGCGATGCTGGGACTGCTGGGTGCCACCATCATTCGCATGTTTATCACACGCCCTACTTATATGGCATGGAACCAAGAGAAGGTAAGGTAAAAAAAACACCCTTGACGTGTTAATGCTGGGAGAAAAAACAGCTATTTGAGATGGCCTTGGGCATGAATGTTTTTGTTGGCAAAGTTTGTTCACTACAATAGAATCTGAAAACAATATTCTCAGCCATATTAAACATAAACAGAAATATGAAGTGCAGCCAAAATAAATATTTCATCTTGAGTAAGACAAACAGCTCTTTTACCAAAAAAAGCAAATGGTAAAGCAAGCTGGTTCTTTCTCGCTCCACACCTACTTCACTACTTGAAGGAGATAATTGGTGGTGAATTTTTCTCCATTCACACAGAATGTTTTTCTAGTATTTATAAGTTCTGGGTGTTTAAGTTCTTGAGTGACTGATGTGATTCCTGTTTTTCAGGCTTCTGAGGAGCACCTCGAGTACCCTGGCTGGGCTCTGGCTGTTTTGGCTATACTGATTATATTTGCCATGATGCCAGTCCCAGTGGCCTTGATCCACGCTGTTCTGCAGGACAGACTACAGCAAACACAGAGAGAAACAGAGATTGGTCAGTACAGTATTGTTAACACTGATGACAGGTGTGAAACCTTAATGACTGACATGTCAGAGCTGGGCCAAAGGAGCGGGGCCGCTGCTTCCTCTTCCTAAACATTGGACATGATGTTACACAGTGGGAAATGACAATATGGACTCAAAATGTCACTGTGCCATGCACAGTACGATTATCTGTCAGCTTTTAGTGCAGCTGTAGCACAGAGAGAAGTTGAAATGTGTGCTTAATATAGTTTTTATTCTTTTTACTTAAATTAAGTCCAAACATATCCAAACATATCTACTGTTCCAACAAGTACAACTTTTAAAAAGTGCATAATATGGAAAATATGGAACAAATAATTTATTGCTGTGTGGTAACTAAAAGGTAGAATTTCCAGCAACTGATTGATTGTTACAGAGTTGTTGTCCAAATGAACCAAAAACAATATTCCTTAGTTTTCAGTACAAGCTACAGACATCGTTGGAGGCATTATGCTTTCGAGTTGTCTGTCCGTCTGCTTGGACTGAAGGATGAACTGATTAAAATTTGGTTGCCAATTGTTGTCATGTGACTCACAAAATGCATTTTTGGCCAAAACTCAAGAATTGATGACCATGTTTCACCTCCCCGTCCATTTTTTGGTAATGAACCGGTAGATTCCAGATGTTGCACACATGTTGACTGGGACGACACAATGAGTAAACAATAACTAGCAGAGCAGGGGCATTCTTTCATCTGGTCCCTTCTGCCTTTCACTTCCTGTCTCATTCGGACCATTGAGCGTCATTGGAATCACGTGAATGCAAACAAGGTATTTGAGCATGCCAGCTTATTGAGATCATCCTGAGCGAGGATGTAAACTGCAACATGACCGGTTGGCAGAGGCATCCAACTGCAGGGTGGTAATTCTAGGTTTGTATGAATAGTTCACTTGTCCATTTTTGGTAAAATATCCTACGTTTTTATTGGTCTTTTTCCACTTTTATAAAAGCATGCTCGTGTGAGATGCACCTCATAATTTCCAGTTATTCAAAACCATCAACTTTTTACTTCTGTTTTGTTGAGGACAGAATTACAGCTGGCCACTGTTCAGAGTCTCTTAACATGTCTTTTTACCTTAATAATGAACTCTTAACTTAGTTTTTACAGCACAGTAAATTAAAAAAATGTTATGAAAATTGTTTTAGATTGTGAGTTAGGATTTGAGTTACAACAAAAAAAACTGAGCCTGAGTTAAAACAGGGAAATGATGGCATTGTGAGACTGTTACATCAAGAGAGATTCAAGTATGTTGAATTAGGTACAGCTTTTGGGTTCAGTATTAATTTCATTCACTACACAGAAGCCATCTAACCATGTTTGCAGGTCTAAAAACACCTGAGTCATAGGTCGCTGTCTTACTTCTTCAGTTTAATATTACTGGATGTTTTGCAGGTACATTGTGTAGCTACATTATTCATGCATATATGTTTACATGCTCTGGTCAAACCAACCTGAACTCCCAACAGCTGTGTACACTATTTGAGCATTCATCTTTTGGCTCTGTTTTACAGTGATTATTTTCACACACCATTTTTCTTTTTATTGGTAAAAAAATATGATCGCGTACTGAATGTGCAAGTTTCCATCATCCTGTCATGTTGTTTAGTTTTTTTTAAAAATTGGGTTTAGGAGGAGACTAGTTGTTTAACAGGCTAGACAAAGTATCACTCAAAGTACTCTTTATTTCAGATTAAGGTGCAGTATGTGATGTAATTAAGGTGTTTATATTGTAAAATAATGTTTTTTTAGACTTAACTGCTTGATAATTAGTTGCCATTTTCCTGAAATTAAAGGTGTAGTTTTTTTTTACATTTTCAGTGGGTTATTATCTACATGAATTGACTGTGAATGCTGTTGAATATTAATTGAATAAAACTAAGGCTGTGTTTGAAAACACATACTGTGCCGGTCCCAGTGGCTAACATACTGCCTACTACGCACTCACTCAGAATGTACTGCCTTCTAAATGAACAATTTAGTTGCCAGCAGACTGTTACACAGTCTAAAGAAAGGCAATACATTTTGGGGCAGCTTTGTATGTTCAGTAAACTCACAACACATACTTTCTTGCTAATTTAGAATACATCCGGGTATTTCTCATGTACACAAATCCACCTGCTGTGCAGTTAGAACACACTACATGCTTAATTTGACATCATACTGAGTATGAATAGTACGTTCGTATCGAACAGTCTGCGGTTAGTATGCGATTCCAAACACAGCCTTCAGATTTGATGAGGCTGATTGAATAAAAGAATAAAAGCACTTAGCAAGTTTATCATTTTAAAAATACATTTATTTTGTCAGATTCAGTTTTTAGTATATGTAGTCTGTACGAGTGTATGCAGTGGATGTTGTGGAAAATGTAATATAATGCTTTTGCAATGTAATATATTTTTGCTATTTCATTAAATTTTCTTTCAGCACTACAGTAGTAATGAAATCATGCTTGAAATATAGCATAAACTTTCAATTTGGAACATTGCTTGGACCTTCATCCAACAAGGTATTAAATATTGACTTGTTTTATAGTTTTCTATATTTACATTTTCAGAAAGTGATATTGAGAGTGCATTTTCTTTAGAAAAAGGGACACTGAATGCACATCTGAATACAAACTTTATTTTGTAAGAATGAATGAGAGTGCAAGTACAACTGAAGCCTTTTCCTCCATCCTACCTTCCAGTATAAATTTGTTAAATGCTATATATTGTTATTTGTTGTATCTTCTCATCTGTCATATAACATTGCATGGTATGTACAGTATAGCTGGCTGGTGATTGTTGTATCACTTCAGTGTTTTGCATGCATGACAGTTGTTGGTAAATTTTTAATGAGGCCAGCTCTAAAGCAGAAATTAAGCAGGTATTTAGTGGGCAAGTGACAATGAGACACAGAAATTTGATCCACATGTGCTATAACATTGGATGTATGAGGTCAATTCAACACCTTCTATGCTGTCAAGAAGTAACAAATGTATTTAGTCAGATACAGATTGAATGTCATTCATATTCAGTTGACACAGCTCAGGCAACTACTCCCTCAGATAATGCCGTTTTCTTTCCGTTATTTACTTTACACTCAGTTTTCTAGTATTTGTCACAGAGCGTCCACACTGAAGCATTTGGTGGCTACATCACTTATGTAAAAGCACAGAGAGGCTGCCAGTTTTGTGCTGTTGTCCATTTGCACCATTATATGACTGGGAAAGCTGAAGCTGGTAGATGTCCAGACTTCTACCAGGGTAAACAGCTGTATACGAAGACAACATGTAGTGGCATGAGCAATGATCTGCTTTTCTTACTGGTCTGTGATTGTATGAACATATTCTGCCTGTTTCTTCCCAGCTCTAACTCCCTGTATGTAGATATCAGTTTGTGTCTTAATGTTTCTATAGACATCTAACAGCTCGTGTTTATAGAATAAGCGCAGGTGGCCTGAAACCTGTTGTTCAAGGCTATCAGGACCTGCGTTATGACTGCTTGCCACAGTGAACAGTTAGTATGTCCTTGTATTTGCTTCATATTTATCAGTCCTTGAGCCGTTTCCTTGCCAGGAAGTGCAGATTATGGTCAAGGGACATTCCGCCCTACAGTGTTTCAAAACCAGCCAGGTCAAAGGATCAAATACCAGACTGTTATGGTGACTAGCAAGACAATGTAGATCTCTATTTCCAGACTGTTCATTAACGCCGGAGAATAACGAGTAGAGTAAAATTTAATGAATTATGTACAAATCTAAAACAAAAGGCATACCTAGATATATATACAACATGAATTTCACAAGCTTTGTTGAGAGACTGTCAGGACACTGTATTCTGTTATTGTTCATATTTCAATTTTAAAAAAATGTTTGTAATTCTACATCTTATGCTATAGTTGTTCTTTGTTTTTGCATAATAGATGTGTAAGCCAGTTGCATGAGATTTAAGCAGTACATTTATGTGTCAGCAGGGAGCTCTGTTGCACTGATGTCAGAGTTTTTCTTTGCTGAACGCCATCATGTTACATACAGTAGGTTGTGTGACCTCTGCAAACACATTTAAGTTCTTATTTGGTTTGTCTTTTTTGTATAAGATGGATCTTTCTGTAATATCACATCATTTGTCTTTTAAAAGACCTAAATAAAAACATTGGTTTCACTGGTTATGAGCAAACACCCACTATCCTCTCTCTACTTTTTTATTATGATTTCTGCTCAAACTACAAATTCAAGGTCCAAATGTTAAAAGCTTAAAAAACACTGTGCCAGAGCAGAACTTAATAAAGGAAAGCCTCCAGCACGGAAGAATTTTCTGTCACATTCATTTGGTTTGTTCCTTTGTAAGACTGTTTTGTCTGTCGTAACATAGTACTTGTGTGAGCCATTTTCTACACTTGTATCCTTGTGTGGAAGAGAACTCACAGGTGTCCCCCGTGGAAATATTAAGTGTCTGGGGAGTCCAGTTGTCTTGGATGCAGTCTCACTTCAGTCAGCAGAGAGGACAGGACCAACACCCGGCAAAGAGAAACATGACATCCTCGCTTCAACCTCAGGTAAACACAATAGACAATATCGATTTAAAATGTATAAACTTGCCTTTGTATAACAGTTAATGTGTTTGTGTGTGTGTCGGATAAGGACTTTATTAAATGGTACCAGAGGCCTTTTTTAGAGCAAGACCAGGTTAGGTTTGCCACATACAAGTGGGTAAATATAACTATGAACAACAAGCTGTAGTGTGGAAAAACAACGGTAACTGAAATATTGTTTTGACTGTAATTGAGCTACTTGTGAGCATTGAAACTCCCTAAACTGCTCTGTTAGCAGCCAGGAGAAAACATGTGTATATACTAAAATTTCAAAATAAGTAAACCTCGGCAGAAAACCTTCACATAAAAATTATATTTATTTTTTCATTGATTATATTTTGCTGTTAAATGTCTTCATTTTGTAGGTGTACCAGAGGATGACCCACATGGTGGGCCTGGCAGCTCTCTGCCTGCTGCTGGTGTTCCCACTGAGCAACTCCCAGAGCACCCTGCGGTCTGAACAGGAGATTCCTGCTCATCAGGCCCCAGCAGCGCATCCTCCTCCACCACACATCGGGGAGCTACTCAGAAATGAGGAAACCACTCATTTAAATGCAAAGCAAACTTGTAAGTGTAGTTCAAGGAAATGTTCGGCGGAACAAACATTCATATCCACACTGCCAAATGTTAATGTCATAAGGTAGCACATGGCTGAATAACCAAGATGTTCTACATAGACTCAGAGCTTAACTCTCCCTTATTCTGAACAGGATTTGTGTGTGAAACTCTTGATGGTTTTGGTCATGTGTTTGTGCCTCCACAGACGCCCATTTAGACAAAGATAATGCCAAAGTGGGTCTGTTCATTGCTGCGGCCATGGGAACCTTCACTCTGATGGCTGCAGTGTACTGTATCTACAACAAGTTCTACAACAAACACCAGTACCTGCACACCCAGCTTAACGATGACTCAGGTAGAGGAATAGAGGAATAGAATTTTATTACATTGTTATTGAGTTTGAGCATCTTTCAGACTAACACTTGAGGACACTTTAGCTGTACCACATTGCAATTTTTTGCAGGGACTGCCAGTAAGCTTTATGGGCATGCCTTTTGCATGTGCATATATAATTTTTGAATAAGTAAAAATACACATATCTTATCTGCTTACACTACAAAACAACACTACAACTGAGAGAAATGTCTGAAATAAAGATGAAATAAAACTGACTATTACAAACAAGCTTGTTTCTCACAGAGTGACAAAATGAGGCTAAAGATTGAAATAGAAACCGTCTCCTCTTCAGCAGACTTAAATCCAGAGACAACTGCCCTCATCAACATCCAATCTTCTTCCTCTCTTGTCTCTTGGGTATTATTTGTTGTAAAGCATCAAAGGCCGGCTGGATTATTAAACATGAACGTGCTATGTCCTGTTTACTCATGCTGTGTGACTTCTTGGTACAGAAGCACTTCCTGCTTGCTGACACTTATAATTGATGTAGCATGGTGTTGCTTTAAAAGCAGAAATACAAAACCGAATGTGTATTTTCAGTGTGCTAAATATAGATTATGGGTATATTGGTGTCATGCTCTATTTTGTGAGACAACTTTCGACTTTACAGGAAATATCTAAAAGTTCAAATTTCTGCCTTATATTTCTGCCCACAGATTTAACCACAGACCCCATGGACCCTCCCCCTGTGTTTTTCCATGCCTCTGCTGGCTCCAGTGCAGTAGATGTGCAGAAAGCTGGTTATGGCTCGCTCTCGGACACTCCATCCATCATCTCTGTGCCACCCTGCCTGTCCCCTCTTCCCTCTGCCATGCCTTTCCCTCCTCTCTTCCTTTCTCGTCAATCCCTGAGAACTATATCAGCGAAGGATCTGGAGAAGAGCTGTATCTGAAATTGAATGCTTAGTTAGCAGATGACTTTTGAATGACAGTAAATAAGAAGTAGTTGTTATTTGAATGTGCAAGTTGTTTTCCATAATCTATACACATCAGGAAAAAAAAATTGCAGGCAGGCTTTTTAGCAACATTTGGCGGTATAATATACCAGTCCTGCTAACTGCTAGCTACACCTGCTAAAACCACCAAATCTGTCAGTTACCATTGTTAACCATTAACATGTCGCTCTTTCACAGCCTATAACCACCACCAAGTCTGCCCTAAACTCCTTTGCATCATAACCATATGTATGAATTGTGCCGTAAATTTGTACAGCTATAGTAAATTAGATCTTTCTTGCACCTTTACCATCCACAGCCATCCCTTCAGTGGTCGCCTATGATACCTGGAAAAAATAAACTGTCCAGAGATGAAAGAAATGTTGTCATGCTCATTTGCTTGTCACACACTCAGGTATTATAAAAAAAAAAAAAGTATCAAACTGCACTGACACAGACCAAAAACAGTCTGTGTCAGTGCCTCTTGAGACAGATGCCCATGTTGTCAAAAATAATGTTGAAGTGTTTTTTATACACCCAGTTTCTGACAGAGTTCATATACTGATTTATTCCAATATATGTCCAAAACATTGCTTCATTACTCAGGCCTTCCCCGTCCCTCTCACTGGTGTGGATGTGAAAACTTGTGACTGTGAGGTTACACGTTGAGGAAATATCCAGCTAATGTGAAGGTTTATTAATAATGTAATAATGTGAATGTAGCTACAGGCCCTTCCTCACAGCAGCCATTTTGACTTGTTATAATAGGAAAAGCACAGGTCAATGACACTATTCCATCAGCCGTTCAGTGATCCAGTCAGCTGCTAAACAGAATTCAGCCATTGTTCATTTTATTATTTACACCTGTTATTTACAGTTACATGTGCACCACTTTCCATAAAAACAAAGTAAAATAAAGTACTCCAAACCATAGAGTCAGTCTGCACACACTCACACATTGAATGTACACACTTATGACCCCAATGCAATATTTTAAACTCTAGTAGATGGCCCATCTCTAATATAGGCTTTTGCAGTAAATATCAGTTATCCATAATTTGCTTCACTCCAGATTCTGCAAAGCTAACCAGAGAAATCAGCTTGCCATTTGCCACATTTTTTAAATTTAGGTATTTGGGCATAAATCACGTGTCCTCAATCACTGCTGGGTTGCAGTATTGATGCGTTATGTTGGTATGTTAGTATGACGCACAGGGCGCATAGCTGAGTGACGCGCACAGCAAAGTAGAACCTGGATAATCGTTTCATAAATCAGATTGCTCTGTTTTACTTTTACTCTAGACACATAGCATTTTACTGTGGATCTACAGTCCTTATTACCGCGTCCTGGGAGCAGCCTGCACCCCTCCAGTGTTACAAACATCTGGGAACTCTGTCAATATGCGATCGGACGGTGTATACTCCAACTCTCTCCATTCAAGGCTTGTGCGGTCCAAGAATAGCTGCTGCTTGAATAGTCAGCGCTTAAAACGCCGGGATGCGGGGAGGGAAGTGACATGCCACCTTCCACTCACTACACACACTTGGGGAGATTAGCGCGCAGGCAGCAGTAATCTGGTTTCAGGACCACGGCCAGAGACGCCGCTTGGCCACGAATCCTGTCGAAAGTTGCCTCCAGCGCGCTGTGAACCTTCACAGGAACCAAGAGTGTAAAGAAGGCCATTTGGACATCAAGGGCAAAGTGGGACTCACAATGTTTGTTCGGTTGGTTTTCTATAAAGGCAGCTGAAGCAAGTTAAATCTCTGGACAATCAGTGTCGCTGACAACAAATACCTCCGCACAGGAAACTGCGGGTTGAGGAGTCTGGTGAACAAATAAAATCAAGGTGTTTTTTTTGTTTTTGTTTTTTTTATGTGTGAGTGAGACACACGGGGCGGAAGGAGTAGAGGAGAAGGTTGTGCGCTCAATCGGGAGCGCGCAAAGACTGCACATTGGTCGGATCCCGGATTCGTGAGGATGGAGATCCGGCCGGACAGGTTTAAGATTGTGGCAGCCAAGACTCTCGGGAAAATATACGGGTATGTAAAAATCTCTCTGGGACAAATTACAACCAGAAAATGTGTAAACGCAGAATGGGGCTGCAGACATATTTGGCTCGGGAAAGTTGATCTTTTGCTGTTAAATTGGGCTACTGGAGAGCATATAGATGCTGAAAAGTGATTCTAATGAGTATTTGTTTTAAAAGAGAAGCAAACTGCTTATTTGCAGATCAGGCCATCCAGAGGCCTGGATTAGTGTGATTTGGATGACCTGGCACAACATCTGCCCCTCTATATACTGCTGAATCACATAAGCATAAATAATTTATCACTTCATAGCAACTGCAGTCATGCAATATCAGATTTTTTTTACAAAAGGTTTTTTTTGCTGAGCACACAAAGTGTCTACCAAAGTATCTTTATATGCAGTGATTAGTAACAGGCTGAAAACGGTTCTTTCAGTGTAAGATGAAACATTGGATCCATAGCTGGATTCATTTCATCCAGGCTTTTCTCACAGAAGCCTTGTGGAGATTTATGACTGAGCAATCAAACGATGTATTTCATTTTCTAACACAGAAATTGTGTTTGATAAGGTTGTCTATTTACTCATTGAGAGTATCTATGTGTTTGGTGCAAAACAGGCCTCTGAGGTCGCTCTCTGCGGCCTGTTTATTGTGGCCTTCCATTAACCCTGACTAATGGCTACAACTTTTGGGGTGTGGGTTAGATATTAGCAGAGCAGCAAAGCATGTAATAATGGACTGGGGACGTGGACATCTGCAGGACATTTGTTTGTTTTGTTTTGTTTTGTTTTGTTGTTGTTTGTTTGTTTGTTTTTCACATCATGTGACATTTTAGACCCACTAAAGGCACCTAATTTGAGTGTGACTTTTTAGAGAACTCCCGCAGCTCTACAACCAGCTCTATTGGCAATAAGCTGGGAAATAAATGCGCGACACACCTTCCCCACTGAGAAAAAGTGTGTGGGAGAGTCCGGAGTCTGGCCAGTGATGGATATCTGAACGCTAAAAGGTGTTCATGGAGTCCTCTTTCTTTCTCTCGGGATTTGATGTAGCGTCTAAACACTTAAATCCTCTCCAGAAATAGCCTCTCCTCGTCCAAGCTGTCGGCCCACGTAAATCCCTGCAGGCCGTACACCTTGGCCACCTCTCTCCCCCTAAGTAGCCAGATAGCTAGTCATCCTGTCCCTCCCCCTCAGGGGATCTCACAGCCAGGATTAGGCCACTCGACCACAGCGGCCTATAAGCTTTCATTTCCGTGGAGCGCACGTGCTCTCAGGTGCTCCCTCGGAACCTTGCTGCCGTGCGTAACGCGCACCGGCCCGTTCCCCAGGCCCTGTTCTCTACACGCAACATGCTTAACGTAGCTGTGTTGACGCACCGCTTTAGTTTTCATTTTAGGTATGGAGCTGTATCCAACAGCCCAGAAAAAGCTCTATTGTTTTCTTTCGTTTGTGTGCCACTCTAATCAGCTCTGTTCTGCTAGTTCTGTTCATTTCTTTTTGTGTCCTAAACTTTGCTCTGTCTAACTCTATTCTATTGAGCCAGATACTATCTATTTATTTAAAACACCTGAAAGCATGTGTGACAAAAGCGTGATTTCACTGAAGAAGAATGCACTCACAGTATCCTGTCATTCGGCTTCCTATATTAGAACAGCATCTAACAATTATTTTCATATTCGATTAATATGACGATCATATGACTAATCGTTTTAGCCTACACAATAAAGTCCTAAATGTCTTTTCTTGTCTGACAATTTGTCCAAAATCTAAGAATGTTAATTTTTACTTTTAGTATCAAGCCAAAGAAACACTGCATTTGAGAACCTTGAACAACAGCATGTTCTGATTTTTTTCTTAAATAAATTACTTAGATGTTTATTCTATTATCAAAATAGTTGCAGATTAACTTTCTGTGGAATGACTAATCAATCAATTTGTCCTTGCAGTTCTAATCTGTATATAGATAAATTGTGCGCAATTCCTCTCTGTGCTTCAGTTATCTCATTCCTGAATTCCCAGTATAAAGTTTGTTGTTTGTTTGAAATTGAAATAAAATACTTTTGATCCACAACATCAGAGGAGAGAACAAATGTAACTGACATGTGAGCAAAGCATTCAACAAAAAAAGTGTTCTACACAACCATATTTTTTCATTTTGATTGGAATGCGATGATTTTCAAAATGTAGTTATCCTGTGTGACTACAGTGCATCTAACAGTCCACAGCTGAAATTCTAACATTTGTGTTACTACACTGGACTAGATTTCTGTAGGCCCTTCGTAATTGTGTCTTTTCAACCTTTCAAACAATCAGCACCAGTTATTTGACACTTATCCAATCAATGATGCCAAGCTGTTAACTCTCAACCAAGCTGCTGAACTGCCCTGACATTTGTCCTTGATGTATGAATTAAGAGATTAACTTGGAGAAAGAACCAGGAATACTCACTGAGCAGAAATGGTCACGTGAATTCACCTTTGTTACATGTCATCAATATTCAAAACTGAGTGCATTTTGTATAGAGTTATATAGGTCCACAGATGTACCCAGACCTTTCCTCAAGGTGTGAGGATGTGACAAAGCAAAGGTCAGGTAGCTTGTGAGGATTACAGCGGATTTTCTTTTACTCGGGATCAGCCATGAGAAGTCACCGCAGCAGATACAGTATAGGCCTTTATGATAGAAAAAAAATATGAAAACAGGCATGTACATTTTAACCTGCAGAGAAAGAAAACTCCATGTGGACATCCACTGGATACTGGGAAATAAATTGGTGTTGAAGAAAAAGGAAATGTTGTGAATTGTGTGCAAGGCTGTTTGTGAGCCAGGGGAGTTGACAGTAAAAGGCAGTGTAAAAGATGAAGAAGAGACAGGAAGAATGACGAGAGAGGCCTGCACAGACAAAAATAGTCCAAGAGAGCCAGAGATATTAATAATTCAAGAGTGAGAATCATTAATACTTGATCAGTGTCAGAGACTGTTAGAACCACTGCTTACAATAACTAATAGAGCTTATATGTTTCATAATTGTGTGGCTGTTATTTCCCAATCTGCTTATTGTTGGGGTTTTAAGCTGAATGATTTGAAAAGGTTTGTTGGCAGGAACAGGAGACAAGTCCCAATTTTTTTTGTCACTTCATATGTTACTATCCATGCCGTTTTGTAGTCTTCACCGGGAGTACATCTTATCAAGCTGCTATAATTTTAACATAAAGGTCTTTAGTGACCAGCTGCTGATTTTCTTTCCAAGGTATTTCAGAGTTGTGACTGTCCCTTGTGACTTGATAGAGCATTAACATTTTGCAGTAACATTTTAGGACAGGGTTCATTAGAGCACACAGAAGAACAAGGATGCACAAAATGAGCCAGGCTTATGTTGTCCTTTGTCCTTGGTCTTGACACTGTACACCATCTAAGGTAGACATCAAACACAGGATTTTGGTGTGTGTTAGATTTAATCTCTGCACTTCTCTCTGCATTTCCAACCAGATACATTGTCGCATTTAAACAATGCTCAATCCATGCTGAGAAAAATATTGTATTTACATAACACGGTCCAGTAGCTCTTGCGGTGAGGACTTAATAAATTCTCTACCAAACCATCTAACAACACTAACAGTGTTGGTTTGATTGTCATAAGGAACAGTGCCATGATGCACAGGAAATACGCTGAGATCACAGCAACCACTTTTACCACACGGATGCAATAATGCATGATGTATTCAACATGGGGGCCTGTTCAATCCAACTGAAGCTGCGCATATTGCTTTCTACTTCTATGCCTTTGGCCTTATAACTTATTGCTGGCTATGACACACATTGATGACATGAAAACAATATCTAGAAATGGCTCTTGTTGGCTTTTAAATGCATTGGCTTTGGTTTAAACTGTGATTAGTCACTTTTGTGCAATTATTATTCATAGTTTTAGATCAACTTTGTCATCGTCATTTTGTTGTTCTAATGGAGTCTTTCTGTGGTGTCAGGTGACCTACAGTTTTGGCTTTGGCTATCATGTCAAAATAGCCAAACTGATAAATATTTGTCAGATCGCATGTGTCTTAGCACACAGCTGTGCGATGTACAATATCCATTCTGTACTTTCTCTTCTCAAAAATAATGAATGTTCACAACAGCCACTGTGGAAGTACGTCTTTTTAATGGGGCAGCGTATTGTCTCAGTCAGCTAAGAATCATAACACAGTTAAATGTGGTTTATTTATAGCCCAGGATTCCGTCATTTTATCTCCTTCAGACTTGTACAAGCAGCTGTCATAAATTGGGTGCACTGTTGGGTGTTGTATTTTGGCTGAAAAGTCCACTGATATGTTTTGCTACATAACCATCCTTCATGTACTGTATGTATCTCTCAATGGTGGTTGTAAGTTATATTCACCAGTGAAGGCCATAGGGATATATTGCTTATAACTTTTATATAAGTATGAAAACCCAAGTATGTATAATAAATAAGGCTGTAATATAAAAGGGACTCTGGGTTCTGGACCTGCAGTTCTTGAATCTGATCTGAAAACTCAGCATTGCACATGTTATGTTTAATAGATGATCTGCTGTGTTTAGATACATATTTGATGCCTGCTAGACTGGAGGCTGGCAGAGGTCATGGTTTCTCAGGGTTTCTCAGCAAGCCACATGAACATAGGCAGGAGCAGAAAAAGAGCAGTTAACCTTGCATGGATAGAAAAGAGGCGCATGGGAGCACCAGGACGAGACAGGCTTCTGTAAATACTGTTGTCTTTTATTCACACTGTATTCTTACTCTTGGACAGTTCAGTCGGGAGATAAATGTCTGCAATACAAAAAATAGTAAATATATTAACACTTTGAGAAGATACAATAAGTCAAATTTATATCAGCGAGCTCCAGTGGCTGTAGGCTAACAGACAACTGCACTGCTAGAGTTACCAGTCAAATTGACAACAAGAATGAGTGTCTGAACATCTAGATCCATGCACTTTTATCATGCCAAGTTGTCGTTCTACTTGCCCTTCAGAACAGGATCTGTAGTAATCTATCTAACTGATTGCTCTCAAAGAGAAACCACAATACAGAAACGTAAGAGTAAACTGAACATAAAGCCTTTTCTTTTTGAGTATTCATTAACTGTCACAGTTGATGATCCATTTTTTCCAATAGCTGTTTAGTTGAAATTAATCAGCAAAAACTGCTCTGGCTATTTGGGGGTTTTCTCAAATTGTCTTCAAAGGTTTTTGTGTGTATTGTCAAAGCTGTCTGTGGTAAACCATCCTAATATAGCAAGGGTTGCTAGACAATCTTACAAAGAGATGTTTCAGCTGATAAGTAGCACGGACACCCACGTCAAACCATCACAAGCTGACAGAAGAGAAATACAAAGACTGTGGCTACATTCAAGTTTAACTATTAAAATCCAAAGACTCACCAGCACTTCTTTTAAAGACAGTTTAGTGGATGTAAATTTCTGGTACAGGACCAACTAAGTGACTAGCTTGAGTCTATACCAGTTAACCAGTTAATAGTTTACTTATTACATTTTCCATTTACTCCCCTTTTCCAATCCCTTCTTCACAGAGCTCTTGAGAAGAAGCAGGAAAATGGCGAGACCATTGAGCTGTCGGCGGAAGGCCGGCCGGAGCTGTTGGAGGAGAAGGAGGTGCCCGTGGTGGACTGCACATGCTTCGGCCTGCCCAGGCGCTACATCATCGCCATCCTCTCTGGCATTGGCTTCTGCATCTCCTTTGGTATCCGATGTAACTTGGGAGTGGCCATTGTCAGCATGGTCAACAGCCACACCATCTTCAGAGACAACAAGATGGTCGAAGTGGTGAGTGGCGGCGGAAGAGGTGGGAACAGTGGTCAAAGTGGTACCTTTAGACCTTTTCTTCAGTCAAAAGGTCAGCAACTGCAAGGCAAAATACATATTATTGTGTCCCGTGATTACTTATGTATAAAATAAGTGATACACACACCTACTATATGGCCAAAAGTATGCTGACTCCCCTGACCAAACACCTTTGTGCACGTTTTGTCTGACTGGGGCTGGTTTTATGAGTAGTCCAGTATACCATAACATTTTGGACAACAGGGCACTTCCAACTTTGCATGAGGTTGGGAAAGGCCCTTTCTTGTTTCAAAGCAAGATCCATGAAGAAATATTTTTCCAAGTTTACACTGTTCACAGATCTTTGTTGATGGTGGAAATGGAAATGGGCCAGTCGAACAAAGTATTGGGTCATCATGATGTCCAGTCAGTCAATGTTACAGTCAGCAGGTACAATCATCCGAGTTAAATATTTGACACAGCTAAGTGTTGTGAAGGAAAGTGATAAGTTCATATCGAGCATATGCCCTATTGGCACCAGTAATTAGTCACATCAGTTCTCTTGTTTTAATTGTTCCTTCAGTTTAGTGGCTTGTTATCCCGCTTAATCCACCATCTGACCAGTATTAGACTTTCTGTTCTGGAAGATACAATATCATTTTGATTGATATTTTTTATCTTGTACTTGTCTCCCCGTGTGTCCCAACAGAAAGCTCAGTTTGATTGGGATCCGGAAACAGTGGGAATGATCCACGGGTCCTTTTTTTGGGGGTACATAGTGACTCAAATCCCAGGAGGGTTCATCTGTCAAAAGTTTGCAGCAAACAGGTCTGTTGATCCACTATTTATGGTATGCAAGGGATAATCAAACATTATTTTACACATGCTGAATGTCTCCTTCTTTCTACGTTCTTTTTTCTTCCAGAGTGTTTGGCTTTGCTATAGTGGCCACGTCTTGCTTGAACATGCTCATCCCTGCAGCAGCACGGATGCATTTTGGCTGTGTTATCATTGTCAGGGTGTGTCAAGGACTTGTGGAGGTGCTTGACTCTTGTCTATAGATTTCTCTTAAACATAAGAAATGGGCAATGACAACGATTTCTATTAACATTTTATTTAGAACATTCATCAGAGTGTACTTTCTTATCTGTCCCACAGGGGGTTTCATATCCGGCCTGTCACGGAATTTGGGCAAAATGGGCACCACCTCTTGAAAGAAGTCGCCTGGCCACGACAGCCTTTTGTGGTGAGTCCATTATCACTGTACCTGTTTCTCTCAGATGTTTGTTGTCACTTTAAGAGACATTTATTGTAAGTTTAATATAGCCACAATTAGAGCTGAAATGTTTAATCTATTAATCAATTACTTGATTTTAAGAAAACTAATCTGAAACTATTCTGATAGTTATTTTTCAAACAAAGATGCCACACATCTGTTTGTTCCAGCTCTTCAAATGTTAGGAGTTGCTGCTTATCTTTGTTTATACATGACAGCAAACAAAATATATTTGACTGCTGTTTCAACAACACAAGCTTTCTGAAGATCCAAGTGACCATGTAAGTGGGTAGATTAATAGGTAATAAAAGTAATTGTTTGCTGCAACCCTAAACACAATGTTTTTTTTCTAGGTTCTTATGCTGGTGCTGTGATTGCCATGCCATTAGCTGGAATCCTGGTCCAGTATTCAGGATGGTCATCAGTCTTCTATGTCTACGGTAAGAGACCCTTGACCTTTAGGTTGGAGGTAAACAAAATGTAGAGACTTTACAATGGGGCTACTTTTTTCAGACTGAAACCTGTAACTTGAGAAACTACACATACACATGTAGAAATACAATACAGTTTGTTGCAGTAATAAACTGGAAAACAGAGTCCTACAGTGATCAGTTGGCCGGTGACAACACTAAACACAGTCACAATGGTGATTTCAATAGCTGTGTAGGCACACCCGTCACTATGCACAACACAGTAGATGCTGACACATACTGAAACTGAAAGGACAAGAAAACCACAAAACCAGCACCCTAAATATGAGGGGAAAAACCCATCTCCTGTTATGCATGAATTCAATATCTAATGCCAGTTTGTAGTGAGGCAGTCAAAATGTCTCCTTTGCAGCTTGTTCTTTTTGACCTTTCATTCCTGTTTTGATACTTACATAACTCCTTCCTTCCCTGCCTGTCTTCCTTCCTAACCCTACCCAGGAAGTTTTGGTATCATGTGGTATTGCTTCTGGTTCCTGGTGTCTTATGAAAGTCCAGCAGCCCATCCCACCATCACTGAGGAGGAGAGAAAATATATTGAGGAAAGCATTGGCGTGACAGCCCAACACGCTGTAACGGTCAGTACATATACAGTAAATTCATGTGATCCACTGTATCACATCACATTGGTTGACATTAACAGTACTGATGTGGACCCTGTTATTTACATTTCCTTCAAGTGAATTGGAAGAATTTGCAACATCACTACATTGTAGACAAGACAGCAAGAAGATTTGAAAGAAAAGTGTAGAGATAATAAACAACCAAAGCAAAGTAAGACTAAGAAGAAAGTTAGCCTGCATGGAGAGGGTGTCTCAAATAGTTTATCAAAATGAGAGCAACACAAATAGATTTAGAAACTCCATATCAGTGGTAACCTCTGCTCATTTGTGTCTGCGTTCATGCATTCAAGCAAAACTATCAATTTACTCCACTCATCCTCCTATTGATCACACTGTCTTGGTATCTGATGCTAGTTCTAGGTAAAATTGGTCAGTAATTCAGGGAAACAACTGTACATTTATGTTTGTGAAACAAGAGGCCTTTGAATTTACTTACAAAATCAGCGAAATAAGTAATGCATTTTTCTGTGTTACAGAAATTCAACACCCCGTGGAGGTCCTTCTTTACATCCATGCCAGTGTACGCCATCATCGTGGCTAATTTCTGCAGAAGCTGGACATTCTATTTGCTTCTCATCAGCCAGCCTGCATACTTTGAGGAGGTGTTTGGGTTTGAGATTAGCAAGGTAACAGAAACCAGATGTGGACAGCAGGTTATGAGCACTGCACCAGGAACAAAAGTTTCCAAATGTACAATAACATGAATTTTATGCATGTGAACATAGTATACTCCTAGAGGTCTCACTTCTGTTACAAACATGTTTTTTTCTTTCTTTCTTATTTAGGTGGGCATAGTTTCAGCTCTTCCCCACCTGGTCATGACCATTGTTGTGCCTATTGGTGGCCAGATTGCAGACTATCTGCGCACCAACCAAATCATGTCTACGACTAACGTCAGGAAACTTATGAACTGTGGAGGTAAGCAAAATTAGAATTGCAGAAAGGGGAACATGTAGATGTAGTATACAGTATTTTATATTATATTTGTAAATATTTGATTATATCTTTTCATGTGACAACCCTGAAGAAGTGACACTTTTCTACAATGTTAAGTAGTGAGTGAACAGCTTGTAACTTTGTAAATTTGCTGTCCCCTCAAAATAACACATCACACAGCCATTAATGTCTAAAGCGCTGGCAACAAAAGTGAATACACCCCTAAGTGATAATGTCCAAATTTGGCCCAAAGTGTCAATATTTTGTGTGCCTTAACCCTCTTGGGTATGGAGTTCACCAGAGATTCACAGGTTGCCACTGGAGTCCTCTTCCACTCCTCCATGACGACGTCACGGAGCTGGTGGATGTTAGAGACCTTGCGCTCCTCCACCTTCCATTTGAGGATGCCCCACAGATGCTCAATAGGGTTTAGGTCTGGAGACATGCTTGGTCAGTCCATCACCTTTACACTAAGCTTCTTTAGCAAGGCAGTGGTTGTCTTGGAGGTGTGTTTGGGTTTGTTATCATGTTGGAATACTGCTCTGTGGCCCAGTGTCTGAAAGGAGGGGATCATGCTCTGCGTCATTATGTCACAGTACATGTTGGCATTCATGGTTCCCTCAATGAACTATAGCTCTCCTGTGCAGGCAGCACTTATGCAGCCCCTTGTCTTTGTATTCCTCACCTGGTTGCCGCCACACACGCTTGAAACCATCTGAACCAAATAAGTTTATCTTAGTCTTATCAGACCACAGGACAAGGTTCCAGTAATCCATGTCCTTAGTCTGCTTGTCTTGAGCAAACTGTTTGCGGGCATCATCTGTTGAAGAAGCTTTCTTCTGGGACGACCGCCATGCAGACAAATTTGAAGCGGCGTGCGGCGTATGGTCTGAGCACTGCAGGCTGACCCCCCACACCTTCAACCTCTGCAGCGATGCTGGCGGCACTCATATGTCTATTTCCCAAAGACAATCTCTGGATATGACGCTGAGCACGTGCACTCAACTTCTTTGGTCGACAGCGAAGCCTGTTCTGATTGGAACCTGTCCTACTGATAGTTTCAGGGTCTTGGCAATCTTCTTATAGCCTAGGCCATCTTTATGTAGAGTAAAAATTCTATTTTTTCAGATCCCCTGAGAGTTCTTTGGCATGAGGTGCCATGTTAAACTTCCAGTGACCAGTATGAGGGAGTGTGAGAGCGATAACACCAAATTTAACACACCTGCTCCCCATTCACTCCTGAGACCTTGTAACACTAACGAGACACATGACACCAGGGAGGGAAAATGGCTAATTGGGCCAATTTTGACATTTTCACTTAGGGGTGTACTCACATTTGTTGCCAGCGCTTTAGACATTAATGGCTGTGTGATGTGTTATTTTGAGGGGACAGCAAATTTACACAAGTTATACAAGCTGTACACTCACTACTTTAAATTGTAGCGTAGTGTCATTTCTTCAGTGTTGTCACATGAAAAGTTATATTCAAATATTTACAAAAATGTGACGAGTGTACTCACTTTTGTGAGATACTGTATGTAGTAAGAAATGCACCTAGCTTGCCGTCAAATTTGCATAAACTCTGATATAAAAGGGCATTTTCTGGAGATTATTTTAAATACAAATACAAGTTTTTCTAAGCACCCCATTTTAGTCGTAAGGCAGTCAGAAGAAACTCATTGGTTATTTATGGGATTAACTACAGTATTTAGTCAGTTGTGGTGAGAAAACACTAGCTGCATAAGGGAAATGATGACTCACTGTAAAGCAGAAGCCCTGCCTCTGTCGGCTATTTTTGAACTAAAGAGAGAAATCAATAGCAAAGTGAAATGAAGAAGCGTACAGTGTACGTATCATTTTGTAGAAAGCTGTCAGTACTGGGGAAACTGTAGGTTACAGCTCAGTCAACAGCATTTTATGAAAAGGGAGAAGAGAACAGCACAACGAAAAATGGCTGAATTCAATCAATAAGCACCTTATACATTGAAATCATTCTTTGCTTGTGTCTGTTCTATTTCACTTGTCTGAATTAGGGTTTGGGATGGAGGCAACCCTGCTCCTAGTCGTGGGCTTTTCTCATACAAAAGGAGTTGCCATTTCATTCCTGGTCCTGGCTGTGGGTTTCTCTGGGTTTGCCATTTCAGGTGAAACTTTTTTTTTTTTTTTAATAACTTTTTTTTTAAAAAGAAAACACATTTTGTTTCATGCATCAACATTGCCCTCATCAATATCCTTATGCCCTGTATGGAGGACATAAACTTGTTCTTTTAAACCTTTATATATAACGCAGAATTTATAGGCATTGTGAATTACTATTTCCTATTATTTATGTGCTAATGTTGTATTTATCCTTCCTCATAAGGTTTCAATGTCAACCACCTGGACATTGCACCGCGCTATGCTAGTATCCTTATGGGTATCTCCAATGGTGTGGGCACTTTGTCTGGTATGGTTTGCCCACTTATAGTTGGTACCATGACGAAGCATAAGGTAAGAACTTGTGTTGTAAAATTAATTCTAAAACACATTTGTGTTCCTAGTTTGGTCATCAAATATTTTCAGCAGAGGTGTTGCTTCCTCAAAAAGACTTTTAGGTTTTACCATTATCCACAAACAATAGTCATACAGGCAGAAATAAACCACTTTTACAGATAGCTCAAGAGACAAGAAGTCAGCCCATCCAGCCACAAGACGTGTTGAATCTTAAATAAGGTGTTTAAGCCTCAAGTTTTAATTGACCTGCATAAAGGTATCCAGAGTGTAAGCATAAATAGAGCACAATACGTGCCTTTTATGGGCTTTATAGTAATATGTCTGATTTGATGTGTGAGTATTGTTATAACTTTAGTATATATTGATTTCAAAGTGATAATGGTAAATAAAACCTTTTTAATGCTTATAACCACTCTTTCTCTTTTTTTCCTCTCACTCTCCTTTGATAGACGCGGGAGGAGTGGCAGGGTGTGTTTCTTATTGCCTCGATTGTTCATTATGGAGGTGTTATATTCTATGGTGTGTATATTCCCCTCTTAATTTCTCTTTCTACTCATTCCTTCATATGAGCATTATGATGTTTAAGTATGCAAAAATCCACGCTTTGTTCTTCATGCAGTCATATGCAAAAACTTTTCTTAAGGACTGATCATCTGTCTCTGTGCTGCAGGCCTCTTTGCATCTGGAGAGAAGCAAGCTTGGGCAGAGCCAGAGCAGACAAGCGATGAGAAATGCGGCATCCTGGATGAGGATGAGCTTGCAAATGAGACAGAGGAGCTGTATCGCACAAGTGGCGGAGGAGGCTACGGTGCCATGAACCAGGGAGCAGATCCCAACGGAGGCATGGGAGGAGGAGGAGGAGGCTGGGTCTCAGACTGGGACAAAACTGAGGAGTATGTCCAACCAGATGGAACCAATAATTACCTTTATGAAGGAGAGAGAGAGCGAAAGTTAACATAAAACCAGCAGATCCTCTTCACATAGCCTTTAGTGAGGCAGAAACAGTCCATCAACAGTGTGGAGTTTCACCTAAATGCATGAAGAACTTTGAAAGTGCGGATTTAAAATGGAATGTGGGAGGGGACAATTTTCAGGCAGCCTGACTGTATTATTATAACTGAACTGAATTCTAAGAGACTCCACAGTGAAGGTGAAGACATTAGCAAATGTAAAATGTGTGTTTGTGTGTGATTGCAATTGTGTACCTTGTGTGACAGACAATCTAAGTAAGAGTGTTTTAGGACTCATCAGCCTCCCCGCAATCTCTCTTGGAGGAGAGCTGCGGGAGCTTTAGGCCTGATGTGGCTTTCTCTGATGTTTATTCATTGTAATAATTGTAGAAAATTCTATATTATCTGTTTTGGATTTCATTTGTATGCCTCTCACTTTATATATATATATTTGAATCATTCAAGATTACAAATCTTTAGACGCACATTGGTCACAAGCGCATTTCTGTTGTTGGGTGAAAACCTATTGGGTTTGATTAACTGTTTTTTTTCAACCCACAGAAGAGTATTCACCTCCATTGAAGTTAAAATAGGAAATCACCAGCTACAAGGTTTCACACAATGTTATAAAGGCTTTTTCCCCCTAAGAACAATGTTAAGTTGTGTCCTTAATGTGCACACTTTTAAGAAAAATTATGTTACTTGTGCCAATACAACAAAATATATTGCACTGTAGTATTGGTTTACTTATCCACTGACAAAGTAATTGATCACCTGCAAATTTTATTCTACACAGCTTTCTATGAAGCCTAAGTCATACAAACATTTTTAAATGTAGCATTTTGATTTCTTCAAGCAAAAATGTTTTATGTACTAGGCCTCTAACCTGTCTGCCTGCTTACAAACTCGGGAATAAAAAAGCCTCGTACAGGACTAGAAGGAATGTCATAATCCAGGATAATAAGAATTCCTCATCAAATTAGAGCCATTTTTATTTCTATGAGCTCTCTTTGAGAACGTTTTCTTCATTCAGCATTTGAATTTTGTTCAGTTTGCTTTACATGTCATAATATACCTCTTTATGTTACTGTTGAGTTCAGTTAATTCATGCTCTAGGCCTAAGTGCAGCCTATGCATCAAGAAAAATTGTGTCACCATATAACACAAAACAAAAACACTGAGTCAAAGTTTTTAAGTGCATATGTCAAAATTAAAGGCTGTGCAACTAAAATTAAGCCTCACATAGATCTCAACTCTCATTCTTTTATTTTATAGTGCAGCGGGCTGATGTTAAATGATCAGTAAATGACCAAAGAGCAATTCAAAATAAAAGGCTGATAATGGACAAGAAAACAATGTTGTTTCACTGTACATGTTTTCTTTTTGTTAGTAGATGTTGTAATGTACCTAGCTAGCCCCAAAATGAAGGTTTAAGATAAAAAAAATATCCCTGTGCTAGATTATGGAATGGTATCACTTTGGCTAATACTGTTTCACTGAGTTCACTGATGGTGGTGATTAAATATTAAATGTTAGGGTTTTTACTGTTTTTGTCATTTTTCATTAATTTATTGTTAATTTTTTGTTCTGGATTGTAAACTGAAACTGTATATGTAAAAATCATGTACATGTGGGAATAATTGTATAATAAAACATAGAGGTGATAGTTCCTGTACAATAATTACAGATATTCTTGGTAGTTTATGCTCATGCATTACTTCCATTTCTATGTTTTAATGTTATCGTGTTAATTAGGTGGTGCATAAACTATCTTGCTAAAAAAAAATACAGCTGACTTTTACATTTAATCAGTTTTTTTGAAAATGGTATCTGTTTTGTCTTATTTGAACCAACTCTTCTCTGCTCCATGCCATATTCAGTCACTAATAATATACGACTTAAAATCTTGCAATAACGCTGTACTCCTCTGTACACAGCGTATTGATCACTGAGTATAAGGGCATGGAAATGAAGAAGAAAAATAGATTTGGAGACAACCACAGCACTTGCCAGTGTTCCTCAGCCTGTAATAAACACTGAGGGAGTCACCCTCACTGTCCTGCTCTGGTATCTAAAAACAAAGGGATTATCCTGCATCCATCTGCCAGCAAGAGAAATAGTGGTTACCTGGATGTAACTCGGAGCTACACATGTACTCATAGAACTACAGTTACATCCAGGCAACTACTGTTTCTATTTTGTACCCTCTATGCCCTGTAATGGGCTTCGCTAATGGTAACTACTGGAGGCTAAGGCCATGATGTCACATCCCTGAGATATGACTGCACCTGCATGTGGAAATATAATATCTTGTGTGGGTCTTAGTCTGCATTTCACAAGTGGATAGCTCCTGGTTGTGAAGCAGTTATGACACGTCCAACTGTCAAAGGTGGATGCGATGTGACCGCTGTCAAACAGGCGGGCACAAGTGCAGATTGAGGGGGGTCTCTTACAGTGAGAACCACAGAGTATACTGAGTGTTGTCCCTGATTGCACACAAGTTATAGAACTGCCAGATCAATGTGTTTATGTCAGGAGAGAGGCTCTACTCTACACTCTCATGTTGCTAGATGTGCAGAGGCTAAGGAGGAAAGAAGAATGAATGGGGGAATAGTGGTTGGAACAAACTGCCAGTTTAATGGGCCAACATTAGCTTTGTATAATGAATTTAATATCTGGTAGTCAGTATCAACCACTGCTGGAATGAGCTCTTGTTTAACATAAAAGACAGAGCGGAGACAATGACAATGATGTTACGTCGGTACAGTGAACAGGACTGTCAGTTAAGCTGGCTAGCAAGCTTAAGATTTCAGACCAACACAGATAATATAAAATTGGTTAGAATACCTTAATTGTCTAATATTTTGAAACAATCACCAACCAATATACCTTACTATAGCATATAGATTTTTTAGTTATACTTTATAATACATTAATTTACCCACTGGATTTAGCTGTTTGGTCAAAGCTTTCAAAGCTTATCTTGCTGATAAACTCTCTAATGTTAGCCGTTGGACTGTTAGCATCAGGTTATTTTGGAGTAGCCATCTTCTTATATAATATTTTGTAAAAAAGAAAGGTTCTTGGCTGTTTGAAAATGAGTCTCTGTCCCGTGTTACATTTCTGCCGTAAATAAGTCCATACATCTTAAGAATTGCTTCTCTCTGTGTGTAAAACACCTTGAGCCATCAGATAAACCCATGTGCTTAAAATATGGACGCTCTAGAGGCTGACTGACAGTGAGATGATAAAGGCTAAAGGTCCGCTAGCAACCAAAGCTACAAACAACCCATAGTAATACCACACTCTTCAAGTAACAACCTGCTCACTCTGAAAGAGACACTATCTTGCTCCATTCAAAGGTAAGTAGCCCTCAACAACACTTGTTTTACAGCAGCTAGAATTGCTGTACATTTTGAAAATGTTGCTTTATGTCTCATTTCAGAGTTTCAGAAGAGAGGAAGTATCTCTTGTAACTAACTGTATAATGTTCAAAAGAGGGACCGGTCCTATTTATTGTATGAAAAGAAAGTGATGGGAAGGTGACCTTGACCTAAGCTGAGGTACCTTACCTACCAAAGACCAGTTTTGTCGTTTGTTTGACATTTATTTTCTCCTCTTATCCTGTGTAATGAATTTGGATACTAAAACCTGTGTTGGCCATAAGTGGTTGAAGATAGAAAGGCATACAGAGGTCCATCATGTTCTCACTTACATTTTGTGAGTGAATGATGGTACTAATGAAAAAAGAAAGACAACCACAATTAATCAAAAAAGATTTATTTCAGTACATGAAATGAAATCTCTAACGATACTGCATTTACACTGCAAATTAAGCTGCTATCTGATCATCCTACACACTGGATTATAAGGTGCTTTTACATTGGAAAGCAAAAGCAAAATCTGTTGTGATAGTAAATGTGAAATGTGTAATATTACGCCATTTATTTTGTGCACAAATAATAGAATATTGCAAACAGCAAAACAAAAATATATAGACTCTTCTCCATGTCTGTACAAGTGACAATATGACTAAACATAAGCAAGTGAACATAAGCAAATTAGTTTTTTGCTTGAAAATATGTATATAGAAGATATGAATACACTCACCCTTGCCCCATCACTGAAAGCTGGTTTTGATAAGTTTGATCAGTCTGCCTTTATAAAAAGCCCAGAACTGTTAAGACATTGTTATGAAAAAGCTCACTTTTTAGTTTGAGTGAGTTGAAGAATAAATCTGTAAATCTGTTAGTGGGGGTATATATATATAATGAGTATGAGGGTTAGAAAATTTAAGCGTCAGAGCTGAACAATTGGTCAAATGACTAAAGATCAACTAATACCACTTGTTCCCCTTATCGCTTCAATGAAAGTAAGGCTTTGTTAACCTTGCACATCGGATAGATTTGTTGTGTTGTTGTTTTTTTACTGTTGGTGTCACAAAATGAACACTTTTCTGTTGTGGTAACCTGATGTGATGACAGTTTACATTTTGCAGAATATTCCATATCATTAACATGATTAATATAATTAATAAGTAAAGGAAACTATTGTGGGATAGGATCCAGCCCCCCGCAACCCAGTACACGGGATAAGCGGTTGACGATGGATGGATGGATGGAAACTATTGTGATCTTCTTTATTGTGTTATTTGGTAGTCTTGCACTTCTCTAAACTTCTCTAGACTTTTGTTTTGTTACTTACATTTCCCATACAGCACTAACAACTTTTGGCTAATCATTGAATTTAAATATCACCCGATATTGCTGGTTTGTGGGAAATGTAATTTTTCTTAATTAGATACTGAGACCCATCTTTCATTTCATGGCTTAGTCTTTTGCTCATCTGCCTTTTCCTGCTTCTTTTCATCCACTATCTCATAATCTTTGTCTTTTGCCTTCCCTAAGGCCTCATACCCTCCATCTCCTCCAACTGCCCCCTCCACCCCCAGGCTCTGGTATAGCCCCTCTTTCATTCCCTCTTTCTTCAGTGCTTCATACCCTCCGTCTCCTCCAACTGCCCCTTCTACCCCCAGACTCTGGTATAGCCCCTCTTTCATTCCCTCTTTCTTCAGTGCTTCATACCCTCCGTCTCCTCCAACTGCCCCTTCTACCCCCAGACTCTGGTATAGCCCCTCTTTCATTCCCTCTTTCTTCAGTGCTTCATACCCTCCGTCTCCTGCAACTGCCCCTTCTACCCCCAGACTCTGGTATAGCCCCTCTTTCATTCCCTCTTTCTTCAGTGCTTCATACCCTCCATCTCCTCCAACTGCCCCACCCGTCCCCAGGCTGTGGTACACCCCATCTTTCATTTCCTCTTTCTTCAGTGGTTCGTATTCGCTCTCTTTCTTTTCTTTGCCTGGTGCATCCGGGTGAAGGGTGTCGTACTCGCCCTCCTTTTGGGCACCACGTGGCTTCTGTAGCTCCTCGTATTGGTCATCACCTTTTTCTCGTGACTTCATGGCCACATCCTCGTAAATTGCTCCTAAAGAATAAAGGTGCTATGTGATACCTTTACTGTGCATGCAAAAAGCGGAAAAGAAGTAGTGGTTACTCACCTGTGCCATGTCTCTTCTTATACCATTTATACACTGCACATGCGATGCACAGCATGGCACAGATGATAAAAACAACCATTCCTATTAGCATTACTACTCCAGTGGGATCGATCTGATGGTGATCTGAAACAGAGAGACAATATACAGTATGTAACATATCATGACCAGATGAAATCCCTGTGACTGTGAACCTGTGGTAGTTCATGCAAGTTGAGTTCCCATAAGCAGTCTGTATAAAAGTGGTCTGGTCATCATCACTTTGATTTTCAAAACAACACGTGATAACTAACAGAGCTCTAACAGGCCAAATAATTTGAGGCCAAACTGATGTTGCATTCATGAAAAAACTTACTTAAACGGGTACTCGAGCAATTTAGTATCCCATAAAGTTTGGGGGCTCACAAGAGTGGCATTAAAAGAATAGTTGAAACTGATGCAGCAGATGCAGAGATATGATGGCTTTTAGGCCTTGGTACAGGTGAAGATCCAACAATTCCCATCATGCAACTCTATAGTGTCATTTATTAGACTCTCAATGCCTGGTAAATGCTCCACATCCCTGATGACATAATCATGATTTTTTTTTTTACTTTGAAAGCTCCCTTCAGAGTATCAAAATACATTATACAACTGTTCTCACAGGATGAATTATACTCATGACAAGTTAATGTGTATGATATGTCAATGGAAATAAGGTGAACGTCTACTAGAAGGAACAAAACCAGAACTCACAAACTTCAGTGTTGCTGAGACGAGTCCTCATGTTTTTCCACATAGCTTGACATGCATAAGTACCACTCTCTTCTGGCTTCATGTAGTTTGTTTTGAAATCTAGATGTTTCCGTTGTTTATGATCCATGTTGTACCAACGATATTTGGCATCACTGGGACAACCTGGACAAGAACACGTCATGCTGCTGAGCACCGGTTTCATAGGAGGCTCTGAAAAAGGATAAATGAGGAGACAGACTTTAAAAAACATCACACAAAAGAGGGAAACTTCATTCAGTACACCAGAAGTCATTGCAATCAAAGGTGTTTGTTGGATATGCATACCTTGGACAAACAGGTCTTGATTATCAGAGACCTCTTCGTATGGGGGCCCTCCAGTGCTGGCCACGTGTTTGTAGGTGGCATTACACTTATAATCCCCGTTTACCTTTTCTGTCAAGTAACTGATTGTGTATGTAGAACTTTGGCTGTCCTGAAGGATTGTATTGTGTTTGTAGAAAACAGCACGGCTAATTTTATCTGTGCCCCAGGCAACGCATTTTAGCGTGATACTACCCCCAGCTAGAGCAGGCAGGGGATCCATTTCCAGAGCTATGGCCTTGCCTGAAAGAAGAAGAACGGATTAGTTTTAAGAACATAATTTAAATGACTTTTTTTCTCGTTGTGATCAGTGAATTTAGAGATGTATGTAGAAATAAATATATAATTTTATAACATGATTTAATCAATAACGTATGGACTGATTTAACGGATATTTGACAGTACCAATGTGACAACGTGAGTTCACTTGTAATGAAGCTGAAGCTACAAAGAATTAAGATCACCTCGACTTTATGGAGCTTTACAGAGTTTCAGCTTATTATTTAGCTGTTCATCCTGTAAATTTACTGTTTTGGTTCACTCTCACCACTCTCTAAAAATCGTTAAAGGTCAAAGCAGGCAGCCATTTTCAGCAAAAAGCTTTTAAGGATTTCTGTACACTACCTGCTCAGCACCAAAAAACAGACAGACACAAGTGGTGAACATAGTGGAGCATTTAGCAGCTTAAGAGACAGACCTATACCGTAGTTATTGTGTGTGTAAATAATAGTATTACAAAATATTGTTAAAAAAGTGATAAAATCATGGCCTGTCATTATTTTCAGTCTTGTTTAGAAGTGGCTGTCTTTGGCAACTGAAATCTGCTGTTACTGCGCTGTGCACATTTTTTAGAAATAGAAGATGAATGAATTCTATAATGAAATACAACATCAAGACACTGGAATGAACAAGTACAATTTAAAAGCTTTAAAATCATTCTTTGGAATAGCATGTAATGGTGTGTATATTTAGCCACAGAAAGTATTCCATTATATCATTCAAATAACAGTAAACCTACCTGAGGTCCTGACTGTGATTTGGTTACTCCTGTGGTCTTGATTTCTATCAGTACACCAGAAAATGGTCTCAGGGACAAGCAGTCTGTAGGGTTGAAAGGCCAGATTCACACTGTCGTCCTTCAGCTTCAACGCAATCTTTCTCATCTGTTTTATACTTGGCCTGTAAACCCAGCAGGTCCATCCCTGCAGACCATCCTCATTTTCAAGCTCCAGGACAACTGAACCTCCAGTCCGCATCACTGGCAGACCCGTCTTGATGACGAGTGAGGCAATGGGAAGGTATTCTGAAAGGTAAATAAATGTATTATTTATATGGTTAGCGTATCTCCCTTTGTATCTATGTCTGCTTGAACACTAATACTTATGTTCATGTGATATATTTACCCAGGACGCTGATGTTTAAGGAGTTACTCTCTTGCCCATTGATCTCGCAGTGATACAAGCCTGCGTGCTCGGGGGCAGCAACTTCTATCTTCCAGATTTCGTTTGTCCACTGTTGTTCGGTGTTGTTGATGTACCATTTCACTGTGTTCCCACTTGTATTGTTCTCACAGCGCAAATAAAATAAGTCCCCAGAAAAGACCTCCTTGAATGGGGGATACATTGAAACTAAGGAGGCAGGAGACAAAGTAAAACAAGACATTCAGTCAAGTATTTGTGTAGGTATTCTGTCAACTGCCACAGTTTATGTCATGACAAAAAACTACAAAATGCCGTTGTGTATGGCCATAGTAACAGAGGGAAGATGCATGTGTGAGCGCTGATTACCTTTTATATTTTGACATCTTGCCAGGAGCATGAACACTGTAACAAAAAAACATTATTCTTATTCTGTGTGAATATAAACAAATTCTTTCATGGCTACTTATACACAGTTCACATAAGTTTCTGTTACTTAGAGCAGGACACTGAGTCAAAATTCAAAATGGTGATTCACAGAATCCACTTTTTTGGGGGATGAAATCTTTAAAATTATTTCCTGTGAGTCTCCGATAGATTTTCTGTTAATGACGTTTCAGTAGCTGGTGCTCTTTAATTTGTCTATCACTGCTCATGGAAGATACACAGTTGTTGTTTTTTTTCAACCTAAAGTGACATTTAGTTTTAAAAAAAATCACTAAAATGATAGTATAATTATATTACATTACTGTCATATGATGCATGGATAATGCATGAAAAATTGTGGTTCACATGTAGTGAAGCTGTAAAGTCATGAGAATCTAAATTCACTACGCGTGACATCAACTTCATTATTCTATAAGGGATTAATCAAAATCAGTCTTTCATTCTATCCACCTAAAATTCCCTAATAGCACAAAATTTTCTTTATGTTTTACAAAGTCACTTAAAACATTATACACTCCACACAACTTTTGCTTATTTTTGATATATCCAGCTGTAAATGTCTGTTACTGCTTTGTAAGTGTGTGTGTATGTCTACATACAACAAGGATACATATCATTAACTGGCACAAAAAATATTCTATGGCTTTTATAAAGCATTTGGCTTAATGATAAGGTAATAAATGGTATCGAGAATATAGTGATGATTCGCTCATAAAAATTACTGCTGCAAAATTATTGATTTAAAATCAATAACAAAAAAAACTAAATCACTTGTATGCATGCAATTTAATAAATACACATGTATTACATAAAAAATGCAATATTAGATAAATATCTGAGGCAAAGCATTTATCAATCATTATTTTTAACAAAATATAGAATACATTCTATTGTTGTGTAAATGTAATACTTTTGAAAGATTATCAAACAGTTACAAAATGTTTGGGTACAATTTGCTTTTCATGGATTTCTGTTGTTCAGATTCAATTTAAATAATTTCAGCTCCGTCTGTTTGTTTGCATGCCTGTGTGTCTGTTTGTTTTGTAAGCATTGAAACAAAATGCCTACAAAACTATTTTATCATCATTAAATGCAAGAATAATAATTTTGATTTTTGATTTAACATTTTGTATATACTGATGCAATAGATGATTCATTTTTGGAATAATTGACATTTTAAATAAACCCTAACATGATGAGTTAACTGGCGGGTTAGTGTAGGCCTCCAGGGGATTAATGTGAATATCAATATTCACTGACAGTTAGTTACTACTATTGCATTCAGAACTGCATGGGGGCTCTCCAGCTCTCCAGCAACAGCGGAGGCCGAACAGGCACATTTTAAACGGCTCTGCACTGATATTTTATTAATTGTGAAATGCAATTCGTCACCGAAAATTCAACTAAATGTAAGAAATATTTAGTATGTTTTAGCAATATTGGAAATGACCCTTAATTGCATATTTGCTTAACTGTATCTATCACCAAGATCAGCATGCCTCATCCTTAGTTTTTGTGTCATATAAATCTTTAAACAACACAAAATATGAAAAGTGGTGCTATATTACATTATACATACAATACAATACAATACAATACACAAAACATCTTTGTAAAAGTACTATCAAATCTTACTAAATTCCAACTGAAAAGCATAACATAACTTATAATACTAACATGACAACCTCACAATTACAAACCGTCTCTAACCCCAAGAAATCCTGGTTCTTGTTTCATTGGATCCTTCTTACCTGCCAGGAGCAGCACCTGTAATCCTCCTTTCATCGCGCCTGCCAGAGTAACACAGACAAAAGAAACAACACAGTGACTGTGGCACTGAGAAGTGACCGAACGCTAACTGGTTTCGAGTATTTAGTCATAGTGAGGAAGTTAGAATTGGAGGGGGGGGGGGGGGGGGGGGGGATTAAGCAAGGAAGTGTTGCCAGATAATAACGGAAAATAAGAGAACCGTAATCCCTACAATAATATTTCTCTTCAGTAGTGTTCTCAGTACCATGCCAAAAGCAATAGTATTGTACACATACACAGTATTTCCCTGGGAAAGTTCTCTATTTGCTCTCTTATTTGTTCTGTCACAATTTGAAATGTACTAGTTAAGATGTATGACAACTTTTGGCACAGTACTAAGAACACTACTGAGGAGAAACATGCAACAGTACTGCACACCGAAACAAAAGCACACAAGCATCTTTTATTATTAAGTAAGACAGAAATGACAGGGTGAAATCGAAGGAAATACATTCATTTTAAGACTAAGGGAAAAAAATGAGAAACGGGAAGTAGATGCTTTGGACATATTTACTGACTCCTGGACACCTTTACAAAGAGCAGGTCATATATTCTTTACAATTATACATTTTACATACATACAAATGCTCTAAAGGATAATGTGTGACAAACTACAGTATAAAGGTTAACAGAAAAGCTTTAAAAAAAGAGCATTACTTAACATGACAGAAACCCATTACTAGTAGCTAAAGACTAAGTAACAACCACATCAAAGGTCTTTACTGAGAGAACCCAAACTAAACAGATGGCAAATGAGAGACTAAAATTAGACCAAAAGAAATCCCAATTTTTATATAGGAAACAACAGTTCACTCACTCACTCACACCTTTTGCATATTCACAGTACTTAACAAACATGTCATTTGCACTATTCAAATTTTTGCACAGACTGAACCTCTACACTGTTAGATAATATTACTACATATAACAAACTGCAGACATAACCAACTGTGTATACGTTGTTAAACTCTATGCATAAAAATGCATAGATGCTCTTCATACTATACAACCTTACATTCCCTGTGCATTTTGTAATTCTGTCCACCTCTCCTCCACACATTTTTAATATATTCACATATACAGCATAATATCTGTATATTGTAACTCCTCTTTACATATTGTAAGAAAAATGGCATAGCTGCACATATCTGTAGAAAACACTATATTTCTGTACTTCTGGTTATGAATGCTAGCCGCATTTCATTAGCTCTGTATATATAAAAAAGTTGAATCTAATCTAATCTAATCTAATCTAATCAGTAAACCAAGGCTGTAGCTCTTGGGCTTGCATGAAAGACACCTAAAACCACATAACAAGACAGAAGCCAGACAGCACTTATTTGCTGCATTTCAATTTAGGCCTGACTCCTTCCAATAACAATAATAATAATAATTATAATAATCATAGTAATAAATTATTTGGAAGATTAAGCAAGTCCTTCAGAGAGCTGAACCTTATAATCAAGGTCCTGTCTAGCCTCACAGAGATCAAAACTAGGGGTGCGTTCATATGATAATTACCAGATTAATTGCGAATATATACGTAAAACCCTGTGGTTGACAACTTATCTAGGAATCTAATTTTTCAAAGTTTATACCAGGCTTTTATAATATGCATCTTATTATTAGATGAACACCTTTAGTCACTTACTTGTGACGGTTGCTTACAGCCAGGAGAAGATGTGGCGTCTAACTTAACTCAGGCGTTTCAAACCTGAAGCACAACATACTCAAGTTGGCAGTTTGATAGTGATGGCCACTCACCTCCCATCTTTTTCTGGCTAAAAGCTTAGCTACTCCCAGCTTTGTCCTCTCCCTTCCTGTTATTCCCAGACATCTGAGCACTTCCACACAAAATTGGGCCAACTGCTACTGCTAACGCCAACTGGAAAGCCCAGCCCTGCACCCCTTTGTTTTTGCTGTTTAAAACATTCCGTCCTGTTAATAGTACTGTGTGCAATGTAATGTATTAGTAATTTTTTAAATATTGTTTAATCTGAGAAAGTTTAAAATAGCCTTTTCTGGGGTTTTCACAACACCAACAGTTTCAATATTGCATTTGTTGTGAGTAATACATATTAGCCCTCTACTTAATATCTGGTTTCATAGCAAAAGGTTTCTCAGAAATGAAGGAGTAACTGACACATCTGATTCTCATGTCTCTGGTTCAGCCCTTGCAAAAAAAACTAAAAAAAAAAAAAGGAAGGCAAAAACAAGTCTGACTTGTCGGTAGCTGCAGACACCACAGCATGACAGACTGTGAATCAAACAGACGGAGCAGCTCTGAGACAAAAAAAAAGTTTTGGTTTTTTTGTATCCAGAGTCCCTGGCAAGGACACGAGAGGCAAGGATTACCATTAATCTTACTGAATTTGCCATTATGTTTATTATATACACAAAATATAAAATATAGTCCAAAAAATATCATTCACTCACTCATCGTAAACCGTTTGTCCTGTGTAAATGGTGAGATTCAAAGGAATACCAGAGATATTCTGATTGTTAAAGTATCACAGTGGTTAGAAATATTGAATGTTTGAAATAAAATCAAATTAGTAGGTCTAGATTAAATATAAAATATCAGAAACAACTGACCAGATTAACGAGGAGATGTCTCTTTGCTGCAGACAGAGAATGGATTGTTCTTCCCAGCAGCAATCAGTATTATCAGATGAAACTCATGAAATCTACACACACACACACACACACGCACACACACACACACACAGCTGGAATAAAAACTGCCCCACAAATGTTGGGTCAGTTTTGTAATTTCTCAGCAAGTTGTCAAACATGGTAACATATCAATTTGGCCTTAACAGAATCTCAAAGGTATTATCTAAACGTTTTTTTGAGTAGTTTCCTGTTCCTGGAAATGTTCCTAGTTTCCTGTAAACTAGGACCATTTTCTCCAACAAAAAACTCTTGGCTGAATTACAGAAAAAGACAAGCTACTCATTTAAAACATAGGAAGAGATTACAACATTACATTGAATAAGACTAAATATCCAATATGATTTAGAATTATATTTACCCTAGATCTTGGCTTACTCTACTTACCCCGTATAGGGCCGTTTTCTACAAAGGATGCTTCAGAAATGTTTAGATCACATACATAGATCTTTTCCTGCAGGGGCTATCTATAGTCAATTTTTAGTACTCATATACATGTTAAAACATAGAGACTTATTGGTCTGCTTGCAAAACATTCCTGTATGTTTCCTAAAAGGAGTTTGTTCATAAACCATAACTGAACATGTGAAACTATATGAAACTAGTTATAACTATTCCATAATCATTACACACTTTTACATATCTTTACATTAGTTAGATTGGATCAATCATTGTTCATTGTTACTATTTGTCACAAATAAGATGTGACATTGCAAACCTCTTTATAATACAGGTACTACGAAAATAAGGATTATGTGACACATAAAAGCTTAATAGAGTGTGATCTTGAGGAGAGGATTTTATATTTTTTGTTATATTGCAATCAGTTGTTATGGGCAGGTCATTTCAGGACACTGTGGGTTTTTTTGTGTTAAATTAAATACTGCTGATTTCTGAAGATAAAGACAGAGGAAAAGAAGCAGCAAGTTGAAGCCTGGTCAGCAACTTCTTCTTTTCTGCAATGTTGTAAGAAAGAAGAACTCTAAATAGAATTCTTTTCAGCATGCAGCAGAATAGACAGCAAGGCAGTGGAATCAATCAGAGACAGGACAGGCTCAGAGAGGTGGACAAGGCCCCCGTCAGAAAGGACAGGCTCAGAGAGGTGGGAAAGGCCCCGTCAGAGAGGACAGGCTCAGAGCTACATTTGATTAGACAAACCTTATATGTTGCAATAGAGTAAAATACAGTAAATTTGTTTCTTCTTCTGGAGTGATTGTAGAGGACGTCTTCATTGATAACAATATTTCAAACGACAAAACTGAAACAATATCATTATGTTGTTTTTTGGTGGTTAAACCACATGTTCTTATGAAATTTCACAAGAAACTTCTGTTTTTAATACAATGGTTGCGCAGTTTAAATGAAAGGCTGTCTGTGTTTATGAGTATGATGAGTTTGGCGTTTTGTTCTAAGAGTTGTGAAATTTTAACACAAAATTTCGATAATAGAACCAAAACAATAAAAAAAAAGTAAAATGTTGTACTTGTAAGCCTATTCTACATTTTCACTTTGTTTTAATGGTATGACTGTGATCTCACATTAAAATGTCCCTGATCATTACTGTACAAAACTGGTTATTTTGTTTTACTGTACAGTGACACATAAAGTGAAACATGTAGGCCAATTAGTACAACAGGATGTGTGATCTAGAATCTAGATTGTTGGCTGCTGTATGAAATGCGAATCCAGATGCTGTCTCTCACATTTCCTCTCTCTCTCTTTATAAATATATATGCATACATATGTATATGTGTACATGTATAGATTTTTAGTTTTGTATGTGTGTCCTGATGATGCAGGATGGCAATCACCAAAACTGCACCTGTCACCAAGTTACCTGTCAGTCTGTATAAATTCATGTTTACTTCTCTTGGTTCGTTTGTAAAAAGCCAGTGTGGACAAAAATAATGGAGTGAACCACCGGTGTGAAAGCAACCGTAAACATCCAGGAGCACCAAAGGATCTTGTTTGCTCTCTGCAAATAATATTATACGGTCTAGACCTGCTCTATATGAAAAGTATTGATGATATTGAAATTTTCTGTTATGAATTGGTGCTATATAAATCTAATTTAATTGAAATTGTACTCTCAACTGTGTGCACATGTCTCAAAGCTGATCTGCTGAAAAGGAACAAAGTGAGACATGACACATGACAAAACAACATGTGTTGCCGCTGTTTCTGTGTTTCTTGTTTCTCAGAATCAAGGGCACAGTTTCATTTTGTGCAGTGGGGAAATTTTAGACTTAACACAGTCAGCAACACAAATATATAAAAATGACAAAGATGAGCCTGAAGTAAATTGTTTCTCATCTTTAGTTTTTTTGTTTAGTTTTATTCCCTTTATTAAAGATTATATTACAAATGATTTTCAGACTAATAAGAGGAAGAGAAAACCACACTTCCACCACAGTATGAAAGCTGAAATAAGAACTACTGCTCACATTTTTAAGATGGTTTCTGTTTCAGTTGCTTGAAATGGCCACCAGGGTCCAGCAATGCATCAGTTTTGAGAAAATAATGCATGAATGAGGCTTACAGCAGGTTTGAGCCCATGTTTCACTGTCACTACAGCAAGCCGATGTAACTGTATGGAGGGCTGTGATTTTTGAGTCTGTGAGTGCAGCAGTCACAAGTAGTGAATCTCAAATTGTGATTGTATGTTTAAATTTGGTTTGTTTTTTAGTACTTGCAGACATAAATGTGCAGACATTATTTTATGTCATGTCAAGCCCGTCATTTCAAGAAGTACTTTCTATGTGCTTGCTTCACAGCTTCGATTTCATGAATCAATAACTTCTCTTTCATTCTAACCTCTACTCCTGCCTCTTCTTCTGTTTTTCATTCTTATTCTATTACACCCACTGCACAAAAAACACAGAAAAAAATTAAATAAAAACCTAGCCAGCATATTGTTACTACTGTATGCTCTGTCTGCCCGTGACCCACTTTTCTCTCCTTGCCTTTGGCATGAGAAGCATTAACACAGAAAGCAGGAGGAAAGCTAGTTTCTCAGAATAAGGACACTGGGCAGTAAAGCCAGTGGAAGCACCAGGGTAGGATAAAAGTGTGGTGAATATACACCATGGAGTGGTGCACTGTTAAAAAAAGAGCACCTACTAGAGCTCTTATCGAGGGTTACAATGCAGGTGTCATGTCGTCCTTAAGAGGCTGGATTTGGCAGGATTCATCTACATCTCTTCTTAACAGAGTGTGCTATTGCGTGCATTAATGTATTTCAACCACACTCGCCTTCCTCTGTCCTCCATCCTTCTGTTTGATGGGCTCTAAAAGCAAGCATACAGCAAGTATAAGGACAGTTTTTCACTCAAACACTCCAACTGCAAAAATGCAATTCACCGAAACAGAATCATTATATAAACTTACTTGTTATCGTCACACATACCCAACATTAGAGTACTGATCGTCACACATACCCAACAGTACTGATTGTCACATATATCCAACATATCTACTGAGTACTGAATATATAATTTCCTAAGTAAGTTCTTGGTTAAGATTTGTTACCATTATTGGAGTGTAGTTAGAAAGGAGATATGGGGAGGAAGGATATGGGGTGACATGCAACACACACTCTCGAATTGAAGACATTACCATAATTATGTATCTGTCTAGCTACTGGACGCCCCTAATGTTATTTGTTTCTTCTTGCAACTTTTCTTGCAGCAGGTGTTATAACCCGGTAACCATGTAAGAGCAACATGTGCCATATGTAGATCCAAAACCTTTAGCCAGTGGGACACAGTGATGCAGTCATTCCTTGAGCCTGTCACAAACCACACGCGTCATCAGCATTAGTCAGAGCTGGACTAATACAATAAAGGTTAAAATGCCCAAACAATAATCCTAAAACCAAACCAAAACGGTACCATCAGTCCAGTCAGTGTATTTGTTAACTAACACTTCCACAAACATTTGACTAGTGGGTCAGTGTGTTTCAACCAAATTCAACAATTGTCAAAACTGAAATTAGGTAGGTTTGAAACATGTCATCTCAAGGTCTCCTTTTTAATTTCCCCATCACTTTCAAGTGGGCAGCGAGGTGGTGCAGTGGTTAGCACTGTCGCCTCATAGCAAGAAGTTTGTGGATTCAAACCCCGGTTGCCCTGTCCTTTCTGTGTGGAGTTTGCATGTTGTCCGCGTGGGTACTCTCCGTCTTCCTCCCACCATCCAAAGACTAGATTGATCAGTGACCCTAAATTGGTGTGAAGATGAGTGTGAGTGGTTGTCTGTCTATATGTGGCCCTGCGATAGACTGGCAGGGTGTCAAGTGTGTACCCCGCCATTCGCCCGATGTCAGCTGGGATTGGATCCAGCCCCCCACGACCCTGTACGCAGGATAAGAGATGGATGGAAATTATAGCACCCTCAGCAGGCAATGTGGGCATAACAAACAGCTATTCAGCTCCGCTGCACTGGGATTTGGGCAGCAAGTATCTCAAAACCTTACCAAACAAAACAAAAAATATGTTTGTAGTTTTTTTCTGTGTGTGTGTCTTTAAATGACAGAAAACAGCTCAGTCACTTTCTTGACAGATTTCTGAAAATTGTGCAAACTTCTCCACAACATGTAGATGGAATATCTGTCATGTTTTTATCCTACTGCACAAGCAACAAAGAGACAATTCATGAATGGAATAGTCCAAACATTTTTTGTTTATTTTGATGATGACCTCTTAGCATGAAAGTCACAGGGCGGAATGGTGAGGTGACCTGAATCCATCCTATGTACGTGCGAGACGGGGAAAAATAAAGGGGAGGGAATCATATCATGGGACGAGTATGCCTGTGCTTGATTGATAGAGTGACAGAAATAATGAGCGAGACTGAGAGTGAGAGAGAGACTTGGGTGAGACTTGAAAAAAAACCTGAGAGGGCAACTGGCAGATGGGTGAAGAGTCAGTACACAGAGGAAGTACAAAGAGGAGAAGGAGAACGAAGGGGAGAGATCAATCGAGCAGCTGAAGTAAGAGGGAGAGAGTACGCCACACTGGAGAGAGAGTGCATGAATGTGTGTGTAAGAGCGAGAGAGGGGGAGAGAGACGGGGCATAGA